AATCTAATGGCCATCCTTTAGCTGGGGTCGTAACTTCATGATACATGGACTTAAGTAGAGACGGCAGCTGAAGGAATTCCCACCCTGATCCCCCCGTTTTTGTTTGTTTGTTTGTTTGTTTGTTTTTTTCTTTCCAGAGTTGTTTTTAAGCCAGGTCAGTGCTTCGCTTGCAAATGCATCCCACAGCAGTACTGACACAGCCAGGGGGATGTCCTGCTGGGGGGGCACATGTGCGGCTGGGGAGACAAAAGTGCAAGGCAGGAACGTCCTACGGCAGCACTGACACCGATGCCAGCACATCAGCAAACGACAGTGCAAGCCAGGGTGGCTGGGTACACTCATACTTGAGGATGGACGAGCACATTTATGCGTTTTCCTTCACAGCTGAGGCTGGCTGGGATTGCCCATGGGTTCTCTTGCAGCATTTCAGCTGCAGGGAATAAACACTGGGCATACTGCAGATGCAGGCACGTCTGTGCAGCACTGGCACGCATGTTTCTGCAGAGAAATCCCAAAGCAACTGTTTCTCCATGTTATGGAACCCCAAACATCACCTCCTCAAATGCAATGGCAATAATACTGTCGTCTTGTTAACAGGATGGTCTCATTGCTCATCAAAAAATGATATGTAATCTGATGACAGTAAAATGAGGCACTAAGAAAAAAGGTATGTGTGCTAATTATGTGTGCTGTTGTGGATGGCGCATAGTTAACTGAGAGAAAAGGTGGAAAGAAGAAGAGAAAGAGGAAAGAAGAAAGAGAAAAAAATATACTGAAGTCTAAAAAAATGAGCAGTACATGAAAACTCTGTGGCACAGCCTGGCATGGATCACTCTGTTAAATTCTCTAAACTTCTGAGATCTTTATACAACTGAAGCAGCAGCACTGCTGACCCTGAGAGAAAGTGGGGATCACCCTGACAGCCAGGGACACAGAGGAACATCTGTAGCTGTACATCTTCTTACCCCCCATCCCTGAGCATCAGCAGGCAAAAGGGAGAGCTCAGGACTTGCTCCTTGTCAGAGCTGCTGCGTGCCTGAGACAGTAACAGGTACTGAGCCATTACCAGCAGAGAACCAGGAAACGTTGTGTGATGTGTTGGGGGGGGGGGGGGGGCCTTTCAAGTTGTGACCTCTGGTAGAGCCACTGTAAGGGAGAGGCAGCGTATCTTTAGCTATCCTACATGTGCCAGAGGTCACACGCTAACCCTGAAAGACAAGATTCAATTAAAAGCTAGGCCTGCATCTTTATTTTACCAATACGACCAAAGCATACTATTTTGCTAGGATGAAATACAGTCTGGTTCTCTCTTACATTTTTAGTCCCATCAGAATCTCTTTACAATTACACAACAATGTTGTATGAACATCTGCAGCCATTATTTTCTCCTTTTGCACTTGTCAGGGCTATTAAAAGTGACAGACTGCGTTCTTTGATAATCATCACATTTACAGCAAATGCAAACATGTTCATCTGATTTTCACACGGTCGTGCACCAAATTATCCCCTGTATTATCAGACAGACAAATGCAGATCTTTGTTTCAGATCACTGAGAATTTGGAATCCCAGTAGTGCACAAGTCCACTGGATATGGGTGCAAACCTCTCCTCAGCCACCCTTCCAGTGGCTTTAGTGTGAGAAAGGAAGGAAGGAAGGAAATAAAAGAGCTGTAGAGGAAAATGGGCCAAATGCAGGAAGGTTATCTCATTAGGGAGCAGGGAAAATCTTAAGGTTAAATACTGTCTATTATGAATACCTGGATATCTGCACACCTTGGGTATATTTTCAGCCAGTAAAAGGATACTAAGGAATATGTGTGTATGCACACATATAAGTACATACATTTGTATATCTGCACATGTAGCCAGCTTAAATATAGTGCCAGTACAACAAGACACTTACATTTTCTAAGGGCCAAATTGTGCAGAAATCCACAGGTGAAGATTTCTAAAGATAGCAATTAGTTTGATAAGAAGATCTTCATATTCCCTCTTTTCCTGGCAATTACAAGATATGTCCTAGGAGATAAGTTTCAAGTTCATTGCCATCCCAGGCAAAACAAAAATAGTGGTTTCAGAAGGCAGTTCTCTACAGTTCATAAATCAGCATTACAGAGCAGCCTTCAGTGAAGCTACACAAATCAGTGGAACATCTGGCCTGAATTATCTGCCACAATAAACAATTTAGAATATTTTATTTCTTGGTCAGTACTGGTCTTTCTGTACAGAATAGTCAAAGAGTTGAGGAAAGGAGTCACAGTTTAAAAAAGAAACTCATGATTAATATAATGTTTTGAAAAGTCTGCTGTGATTTGGAAAGTCCCGAGATGTGGGTCTATCAGAAAGTAGATATAAATTTAATAGCTGCAGTAGAAATCATATCTAAAATATTCAAAATTACTAACAGCCAGCAAGCTCTAGAATGAGTGAAACAAGTCTGATCATGTAGTAATGGTCTGGGGAACTTAAAAATTGCCAAGAACTTAGAGAAATCTTTACAAAGTTTGTTTCTGGAAGTATATTTCTGCTTGTGTATCAGAGGACATAAGGTATTTGTTGCCTTACCTCTGGCCATACAGCTAATCCTGAACACTCACTGTTTACATTTTATTTTAATTTCTCAATTTATATTCCTGAGTAAAATAGCTTTCCTAGGTAAAAATAACTAATTCAAGATGATTGTTTAGTTTGTCTGTTGTTCAAGGTTATTCTTAGCTACTTTGGTACTGCCTCCATTTGGGACAGCACCAGGGTGGTTCAGATTAGAGAAGGCAGGCAGTCTGTGGAGACGTGCCCTGCCCAGGGGAAGGAGTGGGAAGGCTACCAAGGATTTTCATCTACCAACATCATGCTGCAGCCGCTGGATGACTTACAGTCATTTTGGGGGGACTCTGTACCAGCACGGGGCATAGCTAGCGAGTGCCGCTGCCGCAGCCCCTGCTCCCATACCCTCCCACTCCCTGCCCCTGCCTTCTCCCACCGCCTGTCACACACCCAGGAACCTCGTCTCATTTTCAGTCTCACACCTATGTCTCACTTCCCCAATCCTGAGACTCCTACTTCCAAAGCTCTTCATCCTGCACCTTCATGGGAAAGCGCACGTCACTGCTGCTTACCCTGGCCAGTAGGTGAGCCTGCTAACACAGTGACACACACTATCTAGAACGCGGAAATAAAATGTTTGAGCCTAACTGGCATCAGCCCCAGCCCTGTCTTGGCCTCACTGGTGTTTACTTGGACATACAGAGGCTTCAAGAAGGGAGCGTGCACCAGTTCGTATTTGCACAGTGAGCTATTGATCTCCATCAGCACCTGTAACCTGCACCCCATGGTAAACCCATGGAGTTACCGCTTTTTGGTGGAGGGGTGATCATCTTGGTGCTCCCAGCAAGGTAGGACAGTGGCACAGAGGCAGATATGGAGCAGCTTTATCCCGTGGGAGTGTCTCTGTGCTGAATGATCTGCAGAGGGCACGCGTTGTCCAAGCCCGACCTGGTACATGACAATACAGCTGATAGACTGAGGTGCAGCCTTGTCCTACCACGGCCTTATCTATGTCCAGCTCTGGCAATGGCTCTGTTGTGTCCAGTCTTCCTGCTGAAAAGATGCAACTTTTCCTTTACTCGTGGGAGGAGAGAAGAAGACCATGAAATTGTTATTCAGTGATTCTGCAAGACACCTGCCAAATGGTCCTTGGGCTCTCATTCCTATTTCTGTACCTTGTCCAAGGCCTGTTTAAAGAACATGAAGTACAGAGCAGCCCTGACCCTCCTGGTGAGCGCCCTTGGCTGCTGATGCATGCCCACACGTGCTCCCTCTCTCTGCTCTCGTAAATCTTGAATTGCTTTCTCCACTGCTTCAGTAAGATGAATGGTAGGTGCACTCTTTACAACTTACCCTTTGGTTAGGATGTGGGGAGAAGCAGGTGCAAAGCTCTGCAGGCAAGAGAAGGAACTGAATGTAGCTTTCCCTGTTTTATTTTCCTCAGTGCCCAGTGCCCGATGACCCTGTCCTGGTGGCCCAGCCTCCTTGCTTTGTTCTCTCAAAGAACATCATAGAAGACAGGTGGGATATCAGATACGTTTGCCATCCCTTCCTTGCATATGTGCTGTTTGCAGGCAGCTCCCTCAGCTGTCAGGACTCCTTCTCAAGCACAGATGCTTCTACTTTGCTGTCTGTGGCAGCAGAGCCTGTCCCAGTTGGTAGGCAATAGCTCTGTGCTCCCCACGGAGCACGCACGTCCGCCTCTGCCGCTGAGGCGCCCACCATCCGTGCTGTACAGGGAACCAACACAGATCCCGCCACAGCGCTGTCGGGATTTCACACCAGCAGCATCAATGTTAGATATTTGTGAAATTAACCTTTAGGCTGCTAAGCCCTTCATTGCATTTCTGCTTTTGTGCTTACACAGCAGCATGCTTTGCTAATGCTAAAGTTGCCAGCATTTCACTGTCTAGTGTCTGGTAGAAATGCTATATATAGCCACAGAGAAATCTATACAGCCTATAGTTTTTTTCTGTTTTGTTTGTTTGTTTGTTTGTTTGTTGTTTTTTTTCGTTTGTTTGGGTTTTTTTTGTTTGTTTGTTTTTTAAAAAAAAGTGTCCTAAAAATGAACTCAAGGGAAGCAGAAGTTAACATGTTTAGGTTTGCGTAGTGTATTCCCTCCTGTGTTGTTCCTTGTATGTTTGCCAGGTGATTTCCCTGAGTGACACAGGTACACTCAGTGTGCATTGCACACACAGCAAGTCTGACATTTCCAGGGCACACCTTATATCCATTCAATACATACCTTACCTGTGTCAGTCTTTCCTGGGCACACCAGAGTTCGACACTTGTGCTGCAGTGACAGCACACATACCATATGGAATACCACATGTCCATGACTTCCATATGTCCTGCAGCCTGGCTGGAGTTATTGCTACTGCTCCACCTTGGCTGCAGGACATCAACACACCCTGGACAAACATCCAACAACAATATGATTTGTCTGGACAAGTTCCTGGATGGATAAAACCCGTTTATTTAGAAGAATGGGTGATTACTCAATTTGAAAGGCATAGTGAAACCATGTCTTGGGTGCAATCAATAAAATACACTGGACCTGTTTATGCAAGCTAATATATGGCAAACATTCTTCATTCTTACTCCTTGGAAAGCTTCTAAAGCCACCTGGACTTTCCTGGACATCTGCTGATTTGCCTGTATGGAAATATAAAAAAAGTATTATATTTATTTTACCTTCAAGGCTGATGGTAAGGATGTTATGGGTGCCTGCTGAATCCAGAGGACTCTGCAACACGGGGATTCCTCCTTGCCTCCCAGCTGCTGAGAGCCCAGCGGTGTCCCCATCCCAGTCCCACGGAGGCAGCCGCTGCTGTTCCCATTTGCAGGGGGGGGCCAGCAGCAAGGCTGAACCCCTTTGTGTGTACAGGCACCCCACACCCCCCCCCCCCCCCCAGGTGCTAAGACAGAGCACTGCATTTAGCAGCACCTACATATACCCCATACACCGTAAGTGCAGATAACCCAGTCCAGCTGCTTCTCTCCAGCTGGTCGGGACTGGGCTTCCCTACGGAACCCCCACAACTTCAGTCTCAGGTTCACAAGCACCACCACATCTACGGACCCTCAAACATCAGCACGGCCACCGATATCCCTGCCCAGGAGCCTGGATCCCCCATTCCCGGTGCACGGGTCTCCCTCTACTCGGCGCCAATCCGGCTCGAAGTTCGCCAGCGAGTCTTACCTACGCTACCTGGGTCTTTCACGCACCCAGGATTAAATTCATGGGCCTCCAGCAGCTGTCACACACACCTGCAGTACTTTCCTCGGCGGCCGCCCCTTAGACCTTGCGGCTCCCGCACTTAACACACAAAAAAACCCGCCTCAAGGCCGGGAATGAAGAAGGCGGGTGGCCCGGGGTGAGCAGGGCCGCCCCGAGGGGGGAGCTTTTTAAGGGACCATCTCCAGGGCCCCCCCGGCGCCGTCCCTCGGAGCTGCACGGCGGCACCTCCCGCCCCTCCTCACCTCGCCCCGGGTCGGGCACTCGGGAAGCGGCTGCAGCGCCGGCGCCCGGCCATGGGCTGCGCCAGCAGCGCCCGCGGCCGCCCCCGGGGGCCGCCGCCGCCGCGGGGTGAGCGGGGCCGGGGCCGGGGCCGGGGCTGGGGCCTGGGCCTGGGCCTGGGCCTGGGCCGGGGTGAGCGGGGCTCGGGGGGTGCCCACGGAGCGTGCTGAGGGTGGGAAGCAAATCCTGCGGTTGGTCCTTTTGTATAATACCTTATAAATCCAATGCTTACCCCCCCCCTCCCTTAAAAATAGTAGTGATCTGGCAATACCTGACCCCGCGATCCTTCCTTTTACTTACAAAATCTGTGCATCCACCCGACACCCGGTTTGGAGCACCGGCAGTGCCCTTGTGGCTTTGATTTGCCTCAAGTCACAGAGGATTTATTTTGGGTGCAAGGCAGATTTGTAGGATGCTCCCTAAAAATATCGGTGCTAATCAGCAGGAGTTAAATAAGACTTTGTTTCCGTGTTCATCGTATTTAGCTCGTTGCTCTAGGGGAGGTTTGGAAACACTTTTACAAGGACCTGAATGCTGCAGTTACAGATGTTAGCTTCTCCAGAAAGATACATCTTGAAGATAGATAGATAGATACGAGTTGTTTGCATTTCATTTTACTGTGTTTAATTCCTGTATTCTTGAGTTATAAGTATCATCTGTTGCTGTTATTCTGGCTGCAGCATCCGTGTTTTCTGTATAGGTTTATTTTCCATTCATTGCCTTGTGGTGATGTGGGGTGTGACTACAGAGATGACAGCCGGTTGTACGGGGTGAGCGTTGGCTGTGTCACGATAGAGCCAGCATGCATTCGCAAACCTCTGAAAATACCAGCAGAAATCTCTTTATACTGTACCTGCTGTCCTGTTCACCTGATCAGTTTCCCAAATTCCTCTGCCTTTCCATCCTCTACTGAAAGATATTTGCACAGGAGCACTGAAAGGCTCAGGAAAACAACTGAAGTAATTTATTCTGAGTATTTTAGGACTTATGTCTAAATGCCTGCTCATGTTAGGATAGGTTATAAAATGTACTAAATACATAAACTAGTGTCATGGTAATGATAAAGTGCAGTTTCTAATTACAGCTGAAAGATCTCTGTTAATTGGGCAGTTACTGGCCAGATATGTTAGTTATTTTCCAATTGAGTTTAATAAGAGAAGATAATTTGAAAGGAACTTCTCTAAATGTGTTAATAGGGAAAAAAAAATATTTAATTTCATTCCATTGATGTGTAACTCACAAAAATGTGAGGCTTTTATGAAAGGAAAGGAGTCAAAGGGAAAAATACTGTAGCCGTGGCCCACTTAAATTCACTGTGCTTTTCATTGTTTCTCCAGCTGAAATTGTCTACAGCAGGGAAAATAAAAATTACAAATTTTAAAATAAAACACAACTAGAAGACATCTTAGGAATGTTGACTGCCACATGATGTTCATTCTTCTTGGGGATAACGGTATTGTGAACAGATTACTGGGAGGATTTATTTTTTTTCCATATTAGAGAATTCTTTGCATTTCAGATGAGAGCAAAGGAATGTTTCCAGGACTTTCAGCAGTGCAGGTCTTGCATTACATGGCAGTATTTTATAATCCGATTTACATAAAACATCTTGATGAAGAGGGGGCTAGCTGGAAATTACAGGGCTGATGTTTATAGAAACTGCAGGAGATCCCTAGTAATAATGGGTTTGAATTGTTTCTTTTGTTGGTAACACCAGCTGAAAACTCTGTATAACATGCTAGTTTTCATGGCTCATTTATTTCTGTCTGTAGGTTTTAAATGTTCCCTGCCCACCTGGTACCAAGTAAGGTGAAGGCATGAGAAGTGTCTAAAGGGATAAAAAATGAAACATTGAAAGACCAAGTCTCTGGTCTCTGAGCGTACACTGCTTTTTTTCCAGTTAATGCTTAGAGTAGCTTAAGTTTAAGACTTACTTGCTATTATTCTGATTGGGTATCTGTTTCACATTGAGCTTCGTGTTAGGAAACGGAGTGCCTGGAAGACAAGGTGTGAGAGAGATCTAGAGAAGGTAAACAGGGACGTATATTTGCTGTTTCTTGTAACACAAGAACTATGTCACTTGATGAAATCACTAGCAGCAGGCTAGAATGTGTTTTACAGAGGGTGTATGTGGGCTGTAGACCTCATTGCCACTGGCCATGATGGAGGCTAAGTGTGTAAATGGACTGAAAAGGGAGCTGGGCAGGTTCACAGGGGAATGCCCACTGACAGACTGACACCTGGCCCTGTGGACAGGGTCCCACTGGCCCTCGGGTGCCGCCCTGGGTGGGTCTGTGGTCTGACATGCGTAGCTGAGCTTACCTCCCTTTTTTGAGTTGCATTGTGAATAGCTATACCTCTTTGAATTTGAAGGGGTTGGTTGGACCTTTGATGGTTTTGCAGTTCCAGGGTCAAATGAGATTTTACATGTCCTATAGTCAAAGTTGCTTTCTGTCTGTCTTGTCAGTCCAGATTCCCTGTTCTTGAACTTCTCCTGGTTTAGTTGTCCTTCCCTGGGTCTGTAGGAACATGCTAACTAGGTGACGCTTGCCAGGGAGGTGTTTTTCTTGAATGCTTCAAAAGAACTGTGGAGTTTTCTTAAGAGTTGCAGTATTCAAGCAGCTGTTTTAAGGGCAGGATATATTACATTTTTTTGCTGTTCATCTAGGTGTGTATGGAGTATCATATGGTTCTGCTCACCGGCTTTGACACTGCAATCATCATTTGCTCATAAAAATACAATTTGTCCAGTTTTGTAATTATTATATAAACAGATTTCACACATGAATTCCCAGGGTTTTCATCTTGACATTCCTTTGGAGAAGGTTAAGTTCAAACTCTTGTCAAAATTAATTTAATCAGAAAGTTATTAAGTCAGTCTGATAGGTAGGTATAGCTCATTTTGAGTCTTCAACTTTTATCCTTAAATACCTGTCAGATTAATTTTTCCATTTTTTTCTTCATAAATTTTGTCTGCCAAAATGGCCCATCTCTTTACGTAGCCAATAAGTTGGTGAAAGATGAAAGAATAAGTTTTAATTTGTTTAGTCTTCCTGTTGTTGAACGTTTAATTAGACAAAGTGTACTATGAATGATAGTTTGTCAGCCTTTTTAAATATTAAACTGTTTTTTATTTTAAGAAATGGGCACTGCACACCCTCTAGCATGAGAAAGTTATTCTTGGTGTTCTTTGTTCAGCCCCCTGAGAAGCACGACCAGAAGTTTCCCAGGGCAGCAGCTCCCTCCTGCTCAGCACGCTGGTTCTGTGCAAGGTTGGGGGCAGGAAAAGGGTCTTCCTTGCCTAGCACCCCATCACCAGCAAACCTTCTGCATACTTCAGATCCGCAAGGCAAAATGTAATAGGACATTGACCTGTAAATAGGTCAGCTCTCTTCATATAAAAATACATTATGTACATCAAGTCAAAACTTATTTTTTAATGTAAGAGCAGCACCATCCTCTATTGGATATGTGTAAGAGCAGCAGATTGTGAAGGATTATTGCCTGTAGCCAGGTGGGAGCTCTTTGGCAGGTGGTGCTTGGGCGGTCCCCTGTGCGCCTGCTTCTCATCTAGCTTACATACCCACTCACCAGTTATCTGTAATTCTCTCTTTTTCTTTCCTTGCCCTCCCATAATGAAAAGCATCATCAGGTGAAAACACCCCAACTGCAGACAATTATGAAACCATAGTTGACCAAACACAGTTGGACCTAGTGGAGGATGTGAGTCTTGCCTCTGAGGAGACAAACCCAGGCAAGCATCTGCCAGGAGAGGAGGCTGCTGCCATGATTCTGGCCATAGAGGGGAAGATCGATTCAGTCAGTAAAAGGCAAGAGCCAGAGGGCACCGAGCCCCTGCCTTCAGGAGTGGAGGAGAGCTCTGAGCTGCCGTCTGCGTGGCGAGAGGAGAGCCATGGGCCTTCACCTCCAGCACCGGCAGAAGATGCTGGAGCACCAGCACCAGCGGAGGACAGTGGGCTGGTGGAGGGCAGTGACAGCTCTGTAGAGGAAATCATCGAGAAAGTACATATTACTGAAGAGGACCACCTCGTTGCTGGTAATATTTGTGCTTTCATAAATTCAGGAGACCAAATTCTGCCCCTAGGGACTTGTGCGTGGGTCCTTCTGACTTTAGTGAAAGCCTCGCATGAGCTTCTGGAGTCAGAATTTGGTCCAGGGAGTCTGTACAACATGGGGTGTAGAAGAATGTGGCTGGGGAAGCCTCAGACTCACAAGTCCAAGCTCTAATAAATTTAATCAGCATTTCCAGTCATTATCTCTGCTATTTCGTGTTCTTTTTGTTACTAGAAGGTAAAATGCCTCACCATACCCCTCATTTAAAACGTGTTTCTGTGTAGCTCAGACATATCCCTTAATATTTGCAGAGACCAAAGGGTCTATTACTTAGTCACATGTATTAATTATGAAGCAGCTGTCCCTGTGCACATGAAGTTGGAGGGTGCGTGCCTGGATATAGAAGAAAAAACATTTCTTTGCACCCTTGGCATATCCAGTCTGTCCCTGGAGTTTGGCTACAACACAAGCAGAATAGTAGTAGTAGTGGAAGTACATAGGGCTGAGCTTTCCAAAAATGTTTGGAGATAACTAGCTGGAGAGGAAGGCTGCGTGAGGAAGCAGTGGTGTCTGAGACAGCAGGTATTCCCATGTGCCGTGAGAGGGACTTTCAGCCGGAGGCGTGCTCATTCCCAGAGATTGCAGCTTGTGCCTATCTTTGGGTTAGTGCCCAGAGGACATGTCTCCCATGGACTGCACATGCAGAAGGTGAACACTTCACAGGAGGAATCAGATTTCTCCTAAATGGTACAAAGCAGCTTGGTGAGGAATCAGATACTTCCTGGGGGAGCATTTCTTAAGGGAATAAGCAGGTGAAACACATGAGAAGTATTTCTCTGTAGGGAAACGTGGTATCAGCAGCCTTCCTCACTCCACATTTGTCTCGAATAAGTGTGAGATGCAGGAGAAGGACTGATCTGTACGAAGACCAGAGCCAGTTACATGCACTACCACTAACCCTGTGGCTTTGCTGTGCACATCTCTGAACTGGCTATATAAATCTGACACTTTGCATCCCAGTAGCCAAGTATGGTGGTTGGCTTGTCCTCTGTGCCTCTTCACAAAAGAATTTTGAGGTTTCCTCTACGTAAAATGGGCATCTATCCTTTGGAATAAAGTCTCATTTTATGTAAGCAGTAAATGACTGGATGCTCACCTGTAAAACGTGTAGTCTTACCCAGCTGGAAACTCCAATTTCATTAATCACCATTTCTAAGCTTCAGGGCATAGTGCTGGAGGCAGAGCAGCACACTCTGAATGTTGTGGTCTGACCTCATGTCCATGGAAACACGTTTACAATTGACTGTTTGCCTGAAGATCAGTTACAGGGCTTTGACCATCAAGAAATTCATGCTGCTTGCAGAGTGAGTAAACAAGGCTTTTGGGAAAAAGAGTTTTGCTATTTGTTCCAAGATAGAAGTAATATCTTAACTTGTGTGTGTTATCTTTCCATGAGGCATTTGAAGAAGAAGGGACCTTCCATTTTTATGCTGTGGTGCATATGATACTTAGCATTTGTTTTGCTTTCCTTTATTCTTTGGTAGCTGTGTGAGTAAATTAATTAGGTAGCTGCTTCCCAGGGAATGCAGAGTTTCATCCAGACTAGCATGTTGCCCTGTTTTCTATTTCTGTTTTGCTCCAATTGCAAATAAAACTGCACATACATAAAATCAAATCCAGGAAAAATAATTTGAACAGAAATAGTACCCATGATGTGTATTGAATAAAGCTTCAAAAGGATTTTGTGAAAGCATCAGGGGGGAACTTCATGGGCGTGAGTCACGCATGTAGCAGGATGATGGAAAGTGATGGGGAGCATGCTGTTTGTTCCCTATGGATTCATTCAGGGAGTACCTTGGTACGGGGCATTGGAGAGCTGGCAAAGCAAAATAAGGTTTACAGAAAGGAGATGGGCACTTGGTGCTTTTCTCAGTGTATCCTAATTTGATCTCCATGGTTGCCGTTCCCAGGTGAGACTGGAGAAGAGGTGGAAACTGAGCTGCTCAGTGAGATGGTAGGTGGAGGGCCTGAAACAAAAGAAGAAACAGGAGAAGCTGTGGATAGTGCAGCAGCAACAGAGATAGGTACGTTGACAGAGGAGGGAAGGACCACATGGGTTATTGTTTAGGAGACAGAAAAGACTGTCCTTAATGAGCACATCTTGTCATCCCCCTGCCAGCTGCTTTCTGCATTTCAACACAAGGGAGAGAGTTGTAAATATTTTTGTTTATGTTAAGAGATGTTTTTGGAAGCAATTAATTGGTAAGTCATGCCTTTTACATGGGTCGGCTTTATATAATACATGAGTCTTACTGGTGATAAAGCACCCCTCTCTAGACTGTAACATACAGTCTTGGAAAATAAAACCTATGTTAAAATCATGACTCTTCTCATTATTATTTGCAGGCATGTTTTTATGAGATAATGCCTTAATGCTGCTTTGTGCTTTCCATTCTATGCCAAACAGCCATTTTAGATCCCCTCGTCTTCCTTATCAGCTGAAATCAGCAGTGTAGCACTGGGATGAAAGCACATTGCACAGCAAATGCAGTTACATGGTGGGAAGGAAAAATCACAGGCCATATAAAGTGCCTTTGGAAAAACACCATACCAGTGAAGAGAACTTGAGGGGTTAGGATTGTCCCTCTAGCAGACTTGGAAAGTCTATTCACAATTCTGTCATCATTGTCTTCCTGCGGAAGTTATTTCCTCCTCTTCCACATTCACTAAGAATCCCACACATGTATTTTGAGTCCATCACGAGGTATTTGCGTGCCCCAGAAGGCAGTAGTTATTGCCAGAATGTGGAAAAAGATGAGCAGGCAATGCAGACACCGCCTCCCTTCCCCCAGTGAATGTTACTGCAGTGACTGAAACCACTTTCCCCTCTCCCCTCCCTTCTAACCACTGACCTACCTAACTGTGCTCAAAATCTCTCTGGGCTAGTGAGTATTTCTGTGATTCAGAAGAGGACAGCTTCAGCAGGAGGGGTGGGCGATATCTTACACCAGCATCTTTCATGACTTCCAGACTCTTGCACCTGGGATGAGAGGTCTTTGGTTTCTTCCCAGGGCTAGTATGTGCTCCGGCCTTTGAGCTGACAGCAGCAAGCCAGCATGTCCCACCTGTGCTACAGGATTAAGGAAAATGGTTTGTAGCATGAGCACTGAAGCCTGCAAGACCAGTGGTGGTGGTCAAGCAGTTTGATCAAGGCATATGTGCCTTTATGACCTTCTGATTACCCAAGTAGAATTAAATAAGTGATGATTAAAAAAAAAAAAAAAAAAAAAGCACTCACTTTCCTTAAATTATCATGTGTTTAACAGTTGATCACCTTTATAACCTTTCTATTGCTACTGTTTAAGCTAGACTGTGAAGACAAGCTATTGTTGGCCATTGGCAACTGTGCTCTTGCAGGATCTTTAAATTTATGCCGTATAGTTTTGCTTATGAAGTCTGAAGAAGTTTATTCGCTCAAATTGGTTTTGATGTGTTGCCCCTATGCTTTTGCAGAGTTATCTGTGCTGTGAGTTCAGCAAAACACTTAATTTGCTTCTGTGAAACCTTAAAGAGCAGCGTCCTGCTCCTGATGAGTAAGATATTTCATCATGTGAGGATTACAGCTTTATTGAAATACTTTCTGCATTTACCTGACTTGACAATATTCTCCCCAACAGTTTTGTGGGGAAGCAGAAAGAGCAGCCCTGCTTCTATGTCTACAATGCATTTCAGATGATAGGAGTGTACTGATGGAGACAGCTCAGAGAACAGCTGTGGGCAAGAAAAGCAAACAATATCTGGGATGCTGTTGTGTAAGGGAGCAATTCTTCCATCTTGAAAAGAAATTGAAGAACTAAAACAAGATTCTGGGCAGGGCAGCAAGATTGCTAGAGGGAATGAAAAAATTCTTACTTTGAGAGAGATCAAAACTATTCAGAGCCTTGCCTCTGAGAGGGTACGACTAAGAGGATATGAGCTGATCCTAGTACAAAATAAATACCGCTCTAAAGGTAGCTGAGGTCCATCTCTGAACAAGGGAATGCTCAGTGACACACCAAGTGTGTTGAATTCAAAACCACTACATGGAATTTTTTTTTTCACACTATATAAACAGTGTTCATGCAAATTAACTGTCAGACTCTGTCACAGAGAGTCACGGCAGTTGGATGGCTCTCTCCTGTCACTTGCATTCCCATGCAAAACTCGCACCTTCCCTGTGTTCCCTACCCAGCCTTGTGGAGTATCACCATTCACTACAAGGAATTCCCATGTTCTCATGTTCCCGACCTATCCTTGCAGGATCTTCTGGCTGGGAAAGAAGTGCTTTGAGATGGGATGGCCTGGCACCATGATTTCTGCCCGTCATTCCCTCAGACACCATCTTTAGGCTATCAAGGAAGGCACTGAGATTCATAGCTATATTTACTGATTATAAAAAGGTTTTCTTACGTTTTAATGTAATACCCTGTACTTGAATTTATGCCCTTTGTCTCTTGTCCTTGTTTAAGATTTAAAGTTCATGAGATCTTTGCTCCTGTGTCAAATATGACCAAAATGATCTAGTGATTTCAAAAGTTGTTAAGAGAAAAGACAGGAGGGTGGGGAGGAGCATAACACTGTTGCAGCATAACTGGATTTCATATAGGTGATGTTAATGTCTGTAGGAGGAAGACTGTGTATGAATGGGATGAGGGAAGAGGAAGCAGGGCCAGTAACTGCTTGTAGCTGCTTCAGGTTCACACAGAACTTCTTTACAGATCTGGGAGATACCCCCTTCATCCTGTGATGCTTCCAGGGAACTTGTGCTTTGAATTCCTGTTAAGATTTAGTGACTATCAAGTTGTACCCTCAATTAATTGTTAAAATATTTTTTTTCCCTGTGTTTCAGAGACAGCTAATAACAAGGAATAGAAGTTATGTCTCTATGAACATCCTCTTCTGGGCCTGCTCTTCTGTCCACATGAACATTTTTTAATTTTATTGGGTTGGGAAAACAGAAAAGCTTTTATGGATTGTACCACAAGCCAGACATGAATAAGAGACATCAGAAAAAGTTTTATATAATATATTTTTTTTTGAAGTCAAGCTGCCAAGACTTCAAGTGTTTGAAATACCTGAACTTTCACCTCCCCTCCACAGAGTGCCTTCTGTACACAGCTAGCACAGTGGGATAGTTTTCCAACAGCAGCATAAACATTCAGTTTTCAATTAGGATTTTTTTTCCAGGTTCGGATAACTAACTTCAAACCTTTGAAACCTTCAACCAGCACTATATAGGATGAAGAATACAGTGTAGCTTTTGTGTTTTTTTTAATGATAGTATGTAGGCAATTTCTCTGAGTGCCTGGACTACCAGTGTATGGAGCTGTGTAGAGGACTGGAAGATGAAAGTGCTCATTTACCAGGCTGTAACTAAATGCAGAGGTGAATCTTCTAGTAAATGAAGGTTATACAGTATGCAGTGTCCAGGACCTGAGTGAGTGTCTTACTCTCCATTTTTAAACATAAAATCATTGAAAGGCTGGTAGCACAATGTATGTGATGACTTCTGCAAAAACACGGAGAAGAGGGCATTTTTAACTATGAGTAGGATGTTTTAGTCTTCTAAATCCTAGAACACTTAAAATATAAAGATAACTTCACAGCTGTTAACATTCATGATGATTAATAATCTGTCTTTAGCTGTGTAGCTCTTCATATGCATTTGTGGTTTCTAAAATAGATTTCTAATCGGAGACATATATAAGCCTGTTCCCAAAGGAGAGGCCATCTATTATATGTCCCTGTAGTGCTGTCCTCCAGGAGAAGTATGCTATTAGGGACTGTCTGGGTTATTTTCCAAAATGCTAAATAATTGTTCTGGAGCTGAAGCTGAATGGCAAAGCTTTCAAACAAATTTCCTGTGAAAACGGGTCCTGAATATAACTGCTGTTCTGAATCAGATAGAGAGTAGAAATTTGTTCTGATGGTGAATGTTGCAAAGGGACTATATATGATATATTATTGGGGACTGTGTTTACAGGATTCTCTGGCATAGGGAAGTAGAATATGGAGAAAAGGTCAGTTATCTAAAAAGGGCAAGCACACGTTGCTGTTTTATTAGCTTTATTGTACAAAAGGACTTCACAAAAATGTTTACTGTCACCAGCAAATTATACAAATCCCCTCTAAGAGCTAAATTTTGTGCTGCATGTGCACATCTGAGTCCAGCTGCCTTTGTGTTAAATAATCTAATTGATATCCTTGGCCCATCAGCCTTTTATGTAAGCTGATTTTCCTTGGCTATATCACTAAACCACCATAAACTTTTAGAACCAAAATGCATACTTTCTATTTTTGGTTTTTTTTGGGGGGGGGATTTTTGGGGTAGGTTGATGTTGCAGAGTTTTAGTTTTTATTTTTACTAGCCTTCTATAATAGAGAAGTTAAAATGACCAACTAATTCTATTAAAACTCTAATGACATTAAAGTGAGAATTAAAAATTCAAACAGAACTAATCAAACTTCTTGTCCACATTCCCAGATCATTCCATGACAAAAAGCCATGAGAGACTTAGGAGGGCTGAGGAGTGGGGAAACAGGTACTGAGTGGGATGAGGACTCCCCAGGGAGATACAGGACTAGACTGGGCATATAGCCAGGGCCCAGAGTGCCCCAAGAACTTCCACCTTCAGCTGCATCTCATGGCTGGTAAACTCCTGCGAGCTGGGAATTTGGTTCAGCCACCAGCACTTGTGCCAGCACAGCCCCGCTCCCAAAGACGGATTAAATCAGTGGGGGAGCCATGGCGACTACTTGCAAGTTGTGTGTTAGATCATGAGCTGCAGGCTGACCAGCTGTATTAAGCAATTTTCAAGCATGAACCAAGAGGAGTTCTGTGACAGAGAACTGTAGTATTTAGAGCAACAGAGGAGGCTGCACTTGGAAATACAATATGAAGATACAAGGGAGTCGAGATAACCTGCTCACCTCAGAGTCACGCTTTCTACCAGTGTTGGTCTAAGGAAGACAGGTGACCACAGGTGTTCTTAGCTCACCATTCAACTTTTTCAGGCCGTTGAGCAAAGCTAATGAAAGCAAAAGGAAGATGAGCCAGTCAATGATTCAACAGTATCAGCCCACCTCAGCCATCTTCAGTCCTTATGTATTCTATAATTACGACAGATGAAAGCTATTTTCCCTTTTCCTTTCTAAAAGATGAAATAGGCTTGATGCTGTGTTAAACTTGAAATGTTAAATCACCAAAATTACCACAAGATCAGAATGTGGCTGCTAGATATATGCTGCCTTGAGAAGTAAGACATCCCTACCTTGAGAAATATATTGGGGTCTGGTATTCCTGGTTTATAAGCTACCAAAGCATATACTATGCATGAAGGGCCAAAATACATGCAGTTATTTGCCTCTGAATACCTGGGATATCACAGAGGTTGCCAAAGGCAGGAATTGGTCTGTGGTTCAATGTTAAAGGCTTTCTCACGTTAAAGGCTGAGAAGATGATATGCCTCCAGAGATAGGGCAATATACTCTAGTTTGCCTTTTTTTTTTTTTTTTTTTTTCTTCTTTACCATAATCCTAATCCAAATACAAGACCATCTTCAGAACTGTTTATCAAAAACTAGACAATCTTCATGTTTTAACTTCATCCAAGGTAAAAGTAATCATTCCAGGCTGCAGGGTGTGCTGGGCAGGACAGCTGAAGGAACAAACTTAATTTCCAAGCTAACAAGAAAGTTCTGGTAGGAATTTTGTTTCAATTACCAATAAATACAGCCCTAGAAGAGGTTAAATTTGCACCCTGTCAGCTCTATGCAGACACATATGTATGTTAGGATCCCAGAAGATAGTTGGCAAACTGGCTGGCCAGGGTTGGCTCTTTCACTCAATATATAACTGCGTTTAGGTAAAGACTGCAGCAACAGCAAAGTGCTTGTAGCAGAAAATTAGGGCAGTTTAAGTTTGTTTATATGTTTTAGCAGAAGAAAAAGTTTTATTAAAATTATGTACTGAGCTTTATTTTTGCATTAATTAATCTGTAGGGAATATAATCATTTGTTGAAAAAAAAAAAAACCTGCTAAAAGAAACAGCTGCTAGATCATTCAAATTTAAGTATTGCTTTACTTTCACAGAAATAGAGGACCTGCTTCATTGGGTCTTTTAAATTTATATGAGATTGAAACAAATTTTAAATGGTGAAATTCACTTGCCGCAAGCTGAATTGCAACTTCATATTTTGCATGTTAGCAGCTCATTCTAGCAAACAAAGAAATCTAAGTTTAACTTAGCTCTAGTTAAAACAGGATTTCTTAAAAGTTCATGTACTTTGCTGAATTAAGACCTAAGAGCCACAATACTTGCTTTTTATATTGGAGAATTATGGGACTTAGCCTTTTAATCTTAAATAATAGAATGAAATAATACAAACCTACTTAAAAAAATAAAAGTTTTAAACATCTTTATGGAAGGCTGATTGTTTATGTTAGGAACTGCTACATTATACCTGTAAATAAGAGAGTCTATTTCAGTCATTCTTAAATTCCTGTACCTGAAAAATACATATGTAAGCCTGAGGCATGCAAGAAACTGCGCAACTGGTTTCCAGATAAAAGCTAAAGAGTCATAGAGCTAAAAGTGGATTTTACTTGCTGACTTTTTTTAAAGTGGCACCCACTTACTGGTACAAACATTTTTAATGGCAGTAGCATGTTGTGTCTTGTTGTCTGCACTCCAGCATGCGTTTATTTTGGGTGCTTCACTTACATTTCAGTCTCAGACTGTACCTTGCTGCAGAAAGCAATGGTATATTCACACCCTTTTGTACCAGTGAAGACACGCAAAGGAGTTTTCTAAAGGACTTACATCAGCAACTGGACAAGTCAGCACAAAGAGAAAAAATCCAAGCTGCCATCTAGTGTTAGGTTCAAGGTTGGCAAAGAAGCAGTATAGCACAAGTAAGGTGTTGGAAAGTAATGTGAGGTAAGAAGTGACCATAGCGATGATACAAGGCTGAACTTAGCTCCTGTTTAACACTACTGAAATCTGATGCAGGTGTACTTCAACCGAATCTGCTACAAATAAGTTAAATACATTCCAAAGTAATTATATGTAAGCAAAGCTGTAACAGAACCATAAATACAAGTTGGGAATCTGTTCAAATTAACACAATTCAATTATATTAATTATTCTTAACTTATGAAGTAAAGCAACATTTGCTCCACAGTTCCTAGAAAGTCACATTCATGTTAGTGCTACCTCCTTCCTGAGAAATCTGGTCTTGTTTTTCCTTAGATGGGATTGCTTCTTGAGTCAGAGCTGTAGATCATAGACATTAATAGTATAGCCATGAAGAGAGAACAAGAGCAGAAGCCAATACTAATAATGTTTATGTATAGGAAGTTTATATGCAGAAAAGCCAGGTACTTTTTCAAGGTTGTTGCTTGGAAGTTCAGTTTGAAGCACTAAAAGCATTACCTTGCTTCTAATAAAAATAAATAAATCTTCTGTCAAGGGAAAGCAATATAATGCTGTAAAACATCCATATGTCTTACATACTTGCTGTCACAGTCTCATTATTAATCTGTACAGAAAAGAGACAATTTACAAGCTCAGTAAAAATCAGTAGAAATGGCCATTTCATGCTGTATCTAGAAGAGGTAAGTGGGACTGACTGTTCTCACAGCTTTCTAACTGCCAAAACAGTAGATGCTGCTGTATGCTAAAGTGGTACCAGGAATGCATGAAAAATATGAAATACAATTACTGTAATAGTGCAAGTGAAGTGTGAGGGCGGGAAAGCACACCTTACAAGCAGGAAGGTAAGAAACCACAAGTGGAACACTCTACAGCGTATCCTAGGATGGAAGATGATTCACACAGCATGGCTGTGGTATTGAATGCAGGGGGATTTTTCAGACAAGGCATTATCTGCGTGTGTCATGCAAACGTAGACAGCAACACGGTGCAGCCAGATTGGATTTTTGTTGCATGATTACCATGAAACTCATTAACCTATTAAAGGTATGCGAGATGATCATCGGTAGGCATTATACACAGGAGACAGATGATACACACGCAGAACCAAAGTCTGGATTAGAGTTGTTGGGACAGCTGAACCCACAGTACTGGGACTTAACCTGTGTGTGGCAAGCCAGCGTTATGCCCTCTCCTTGCTATACTGCCGCTTTTGGGGCTTATCAGATGTGCTGTGGTGGTTCCTTTGGTGGGGTTTTGGTAGCAGGGGAGGGGGCTACAGAGCTGGCCCCTGTGAGAAGCTTTTCGAAGCTCCCCCAGCTCCAAGTCAGACCCACCTCTGGCCAAGGCCGAGCCAATTAGCGATGGTGGCTGCACCTCTGCAATAAAGTATTTAAGAAGGGGAACCTGGGAGGGGGTTGAGACTTGTGAGGAAGAGTTACAAGAAGGATGAACACAGGTCAGTAGAAGGAAGAGGGGAGGTGTGCTAGAGCAGATCCCCCCTGTATCCCATGGTGAGATGGCAGGGCCACCACCCCGGGAGGTCTGTGGTGGGGCAGAAGCAGACCTGGGGTCTGTGGAGGAGCCCACACCAGGGCAGGTGTCTGCACTTAAAGGAGACCTGGACTCTGAGGGGATAAACAGCCCCTGCTGTTGTAGTTTGGTGCTTTGGGGACTGCAACATGCAGGGGTGACCCGCGCCAGATCAGCAGGGGAACAGCTGCATCCTGTGGGAAGGACTTACCAGAGAAGGTTCATGGAAGACCATCTCCTGTGAGAGGGAAGCCACATGGAGCAGGGGAGGAATGTGCAGCGTTCACCCCACCTCCCAAGAAGGAAGGAGTGGCAAGCTGACTATAACCCCCGCCCCCTGCGCCACTGGGGGAGGAGGTAGAGAGATCGGGAGCAGAGCTGAGCCTGGGAAGAAGGGAGGGGTGGGGGTGAGGTGTTTTTTGGATATGGTGGCACTTCACACTGTCCCACCTTGCCTGTTAAGTGTTGTTTTTTGTTAGTGTTTCAATTAAAGTGATGTTCTTTTCTTCCCCTACCGAGTCTGTCGTTTGCCTGTGACCATAATGGATGAGCCACCCCTCCCTGTCCTTATCTCAACTCCTGAGCCTTTTGCTTCATTTTCTCCTTCACAGCACTGGGAGGGAAAGGGAGAGTGAACAGCTGTGTAGTGCTCAGTTGCCCTCTGGGCTCAAACCACGACATCAAAATTGAGTGCGTTTGGTTACAAGATGGGACTAGAAAGAACTTCTGAAGCACTCAGTCATGGCACTTTCGCATACAAACAGCAGCATCTGGAAGAAGCAGCCTACAGGACTCCCTCTCAGTACATTTAGTAAAGCAGGTACATCTTCCTACCACTGAAATGGTATGTTCTCCGAGTTGCTGTACATAGCTGGTTTTACTTTCCACACAAAGGAAGGGGAAATACGGTGGTAGCTGCATCTCATATGTAATTGAATCAGCACCTTCACAGAAGAGAGCAAAACAAAGATGTTGAGGTAGACAGACTACAATAGAAAATAATTTCTGCTCATTTCCCCCCAAATAAACCAATACAGTGCTTAGTCATATGGCTGTGGGGAAGACAGGGAATCAGCTCTGCCATGAGGTAGCTGACTTTCAAGCCAGTTCCTTAAAAGCATGGTATCCATTTCTACTTTGTTAGAATATAAATGCAGAGTGCTGGGGTTACTTACTATCATTACCAGTCTGACTTTTCAATATTGCTTAATCACCCCATCAAGCAGATGCTTCTGCCCTTAATGGCAGAGAGAAAAATGCCAAGAACTGTAATACCATGGCAGCTGAAAGCTTCCTGTCTTGGAGTACTATTATCATCCCTAGCTATTAAAAGGTAGATAATAAACCTATTCTTTCAGCTTGAATTATTTCTTATTCAATAAGAAAAATAAGCACTGTTTTGCAATGATGTATCAAAGCATAATCAGGAAAAGAAAAGTTTGCTCCCAGAATAGACAAGTACAGTTCTACAGATGCAATTATCATTTATTCTCATTAAACAGGATTTTTTTTGGTGTTTTTGTTTTGTTTTAAATCAAAATATAGTCAAAGTTGAATTGCTATGAAAAAGATTATGAAAAAAGTTACAGGTAGAGATTCATTTACAGCTGATTTATAAAGTTAGCAATTTACTTCATAAAAGCATAAGGTTCTTCTTTCTGAAATGAACCTTAACTGTCTTAAGCAATTGCTTCCATATGAAAAACTGTGAGTCCCAACAGTAATCTATTCTGTAAAGAGTTTAAGACAGTTCAGAAACAAATACGCAAAAATTCCCCAAAACGCAAAGGTGAATACATACACTAAGCAATTCAAGGGTTCCATTTTCCCATTTCTGCCATTTTTGGTTTTTTTTTTTTAAATTGCTACAAAGCACCTAGTATTATGAATCATTAGTTCTTTATGTCCAGATCACCCATAGTATAACTGTCATACATTTACCCAAACGTGTAATTTAATACCAGACTATCCAGTCACCATGACAAAGTAAGGGCCCTGTCCTGCAACGAAGCTCAGCTGATTTTAGCAGGACTCCCAGAGGTTTCAGGGTTTGATGACAGAGCTGTAAGCTCATATTTTAGAGAATCCAAGGCCACAATCCAGCAGAAAGCACCTTTCCCTGGTAAGCTTACTGATTGCAACTGTATGTAACTGCTGACAATCAATTGTAGGAATAGGATGTAAGGGAGAAGTATTAAATCTAAAACTGCTGTCGTAGGATATTCAGTCTCTATTTATAGTCAGGCTGAAGCATCTTGGAGGGGCCCCTGAATGGCAATAGCTTCAATCTCAACTCGGGCACCCTGCAAGAAAAAAGATGAAGAAATGTATTAGGAATTTAATGTATCTATTTTATGATGCAATTGGATGTATAACACAACCCTGTAAGAACAAAGTGACATCTGAGGGAGATTATACTCCTGCTAAATTAGTAATACAACTGTCAATGTTAAGTAATACTGAAAATTCACTTTAAGTATCATAATACCTTATATTTCTAGTGTTGTTGCCATCTTCCACCATAAAGAAATGTGTGTCTCATATTCAGATCTCTTATCATGTGCAGGAATACGACTGGTATACTTAGAAAAAAACTAAATACTTAAGAGTCTTCATTAATATAATTGAAATTGAAGTTATTCCAGAATAAGAAAAGCTGTCAGAATGCTTCAGAAATTTTTTTGGGGGGAAGATAAAAAAGTGACACTTACTTTGGGCAAAGCAGCAACCTGATAGGCTGCTCTGGCTGGGAAGTTTGTCTTGAAAACTGCAATTTAAACAGAAACATCCACCAATCACTTAACTTTGCTTGATAAAACACAGTTCAAAGTAATCTGTATAAAATGTAGTCACTGGAACAGCTTCAGGTTCAAGGCTGCAAGACAAACAGTCGTCTGTGCCAGCTATTGCTTCCCCCTTGTTGTTTTTTTTTTTCCGTCACTGGCTGCTCTAACATCTCAGCAAGCTACCATACATCATCAGGAAGCCAGCTACAGTTGCAATCTAGTGGCCAGTGATAATTTGCACTCTGCTGACACTGCACGACCTTCATACCAACTTGGCCAAAAAAGAAAGATTAAATCAGAATAGTGTTCACCCAATTGCAAACACCAGGGAGTGGGAGAGGCCTCTTTCACAGACAGAGCAAGAGGGAGAAACAGGCCCCTGTCAGAGTCAGGAGCAAACATCCCAGATTTGCATAAAGTCAACAGGGGGCCAACCTTACTCATATCAAAGGAAGGTTGTGGAAATATAGGCCCTTGGACCTATTCCTCCATTCCAAATTAGGCCTGGTGCTCAAGGATATTAAAAGAACTGGGGAGCAGGGGGTGGCAAAGGGGAAAGATATTGGTAAAATTATAAGAGCTGAATTTATAGAATAATAGAATAGTTCAGGTTGGAAGGGTTCTTTAAAGACCATCTAGACCAACCCACTCCCCTGACATGGGCAAGAACATCTTTCACTGTATGAGGTTGCTCAAAGCCCCATCCAACCTGGCTTTAAACACTTCCAAGGAATTTGCATAATAAAATGAAAGTTTTACTAGTGAGAGTTAATACTAACCTCAGAAATGGTAATTTCAGGGTCCTGCACTGACAAAACAAGATAACAACTCACAACCAAAGAACAGCAACAACTGCTTTCTTGAACTACAGGTAGGAGGCAACAAGTAACTAAGTATCCAGCTGGTCTGTTTTTACCCTGCTTAAACACATACACAATTCAATTTTGACATGCAGAAGACTATGTTGATAGCTCATAAACTTCATTCAAGATCAGATGTTCCTATCTAATTAAAAGCCAAAGCTGTAACTTACGTGCATACTCTCCCAAATTCTTCTGCACAATATGGCTCATTGGAATCACTTATTTCAGTCTACATTCAGTTTCATTAACCAAGTATTATTTATTTTCTTTTTAATTAACTGGAACAGTGTGACTCGTCCTTGTAGAAAAAGTGAGCCCTGTTCCATAACAATAACCAACAAATTATTCAAAGATACAAATAGACCTTAAAGAAACAGAGATACAAAATCTGAAAATATGCATTTAAAGGCTGACTACAGTAGAATTATATTAGGGACAACACAGCATCTATGAAGGTAGAGAGGCATGGAAGATCAACCTGTAGGGACAGCAGGAGTTGATCTTCACATGACAGCAAGTTAGTGGGATGGTAGGAAAAAAATCCACAAGAAATTAGGCTGTGCTTAATCTGGTGCTTGCAATTTTTTTTTTTTTAATGTTATATTTCTACTGGAATCTCAAAGAATCTGGAACTACATCATCTGAGTCATTTAAACACTCTGCTGACTGTGAATATAATTTGTTCCACAAGCCACCCTGGTAAAACAGAAACAAAATATCTACTTACATTGTTTGTAAATATCATTGATATCATTGAAGTCCTTCATGTCTGCCATCAAAACTGTAGTCTTCACGACTAGAAATTATATAACTGCAGTTATTTCAGACCTCTGAATTGTATGCAAAAGTTGAAAATCTTTAGTGCCTTTCTTGCTTTTATTTCATAAACTTCTCTGACGTATTCCAAACATTTTGAAAAGTTTTGCAAACAGATATTGACCGTTAGAGCTACTACATACAGAACCACCTAAAAAGTCCAAATACCTAGTATGTAAAGAAACTTTAAGGAATTAGACAGTCCTGACCAGCTCTGAAAATATCCACTTTAAATTTCATTCTAAGTCCAATTCTTCCAAGAGGGACAGAACTGATAAGCAGGCCAATTAAAAAAGCTGTTGTAAATCAACTGTTGGCAAGAAATTATATCATACATAATATCTGCTGCCAAAAAAGTCCATAAAGGGCCTGCAAATATAGTATATGTTAGAATTTTTTACCCATGACTGCCCAAGCCATCATTAATCATTGTTTGGCTCCACTATCAGAGTCCGTCCCCAAAAAAAGTATTGAAAGTGCCTAGAATATTAACAGCATAGATACAAACCATCTTGTACCCAGAGCAAAGCCTAGGATGCTTAAAATGCCTGTAGTCAGTTGCAGCTCTGTCTCTACCTGAGCTACCCCAGTTAGAATTAAAATATTAGTACCACGGGCAGAAACTTTGGGTGAAAGGCAGTGTTCTATTGATACCCATCACAAAGACTTTCATATTGCTTTATTTATGCTGGTTTTTTAACCCAGACTCACGATTCCTTTTGTTTCTTTCAGTTATTGATAAAAACTGAATGTTTAGCAAACAGATTGGGTGGTTTTTTTTTCTAACGGTCACTTCATTTTTTTTTTTAAATCTCGGTAAAAACAACCACTTGTTTGTCACAATCACAGCAGCACTTACCATTGCCATAGTCACATCCTGCAGCTTTCAGGATTTCTCCCATGTTTTTTAGAGCCTAATGGAAAATGAGACAAAAGTCTTTTAAGTATCAGCTGGATTGTATTTAGGTAAGTATGTAAATATGAGTTGTATCTTGGATACATTCATGTTATTGTGTAAGTTCAACCAGCAAATCTTCAACAGTCTTCGGGGGCAAGCAAAATCAGAAATTAATAAAAAGGAGCTTCTAATAAACCGCAAGTATTAAACCATCCGTTCATTAGATGTAAATGCATGATGCAGCCCCATCTCATCCTATTACCTCATACCACCTCTTTGCTGCTGGGGGAACAATTCTTTCCCCAACTCAAGCCAGGGTTTTTATTGGGGTCTGAACCTTTGTTACAAACATTGATTCTTTCTTATATGAAATACAGATTCCTCCCCTGACCTCCAAGTTGTTCGGGTAGAAAATGACAGTGTTAGGATGGCATGTCTTCCTCCTGCTTGTCCCTCATCTTGAAGGATGTGAAATGTTCTCTCTAGGTCTCTTCAGTTTCTCATAAGGCCCTGTTTAACTAAGCACATGCCAACTCCATTACAAGTGTATTGCTAGAAGACATCTTACCTGTTTAGCTTCTTCCTTTGCCCCTCCGGAGACAAGCTGCCCAGTGGAAGGTTCTATACCTATCTGTCCTGCAATGTACATCGTCCGGTCTACCAGCACTGCTTGGCTGAAAACACAAGTGACATGTTAGTTTTAGTATTTCTCCATCAAAGCATTTAACTATCTGAAAGCACATTTTACATTTTCTTCAGTAGTTTATAATATCTCAGGACTGAGGTTATGCACACAGAAGTCCGTAAACAGTCATACATTCAATCTGCTTAAGCTTCTGGGACAGCTGGGATTAGACCACCTATGGAAGCTCATAGCTCTGGTTTTGGGGAAATAAACCCAGTTTCTTGCAAAGGCACAAGGTATGAGCGCAAAAACGCAACGCTAAACTGAGCTACACAGCTTCCACACTGCAGATAGCACAGAGGGGAGGCAGAGTAAAACAACACATTTTTTGCATCTGCCCATATAAATATTCCATTCTAGTCTGAGAAGCAGACAATACCTTTCATCTACATCTCAGCTGCAGAACAATGAAGAAAAAAAAAAAAAAGAAAAATCAAGAGGGTTGATTAAAAAATTTAACACTTTTCTTCTCAAATAGGCACCATGATAATGAGTTACAGCTGTGAGGTTAAGCCCTGCACACTAGTTCTCTGGCCGTATTCCTCTGGAGTCATGAATGTGGCCAGTCAGCACAACACCCTGTTTCCCAGAACAATCAATCTCTCCTCACCAAATAACCTGAATGACTTGTTGGCTTGGTTAACTCAGAAGAATGCAGAATTCAAGCTATTTGCAAAATATTTTTACGTACTTCAGCAAAAACACACCTGACATTTAGTACTGGCCATTATTAATGCCTCTAATTACCACAAAGAGATTAAAAGATTAAAACAAAGATTTAAACTACCTAGCAAACATTACGAAAGACATAATCTACTTCTCTTCAGCTGGCAATTACAGATATTTTGCAAAGAAATTTGAGACAGATTCTTTTGAAAGTGTGTGGTATGTTTTCTTATCTCTTCCCATTCCATAAGAAAATGCATTGTTTTGACAGTTCAACAAGCTTCTCAAGGTACACAAACTAGAGTTAGGCATCTCCCTGAAGTATCTAAATTAGTAGGTTAGCTTTCTCTTAATGTCAATGGAGGAAGAAAGGGACTCTTTCAGAGAACATTTTTATTACATCTCTCCTCTTAATTGAGATTGACTCAGTTGTATTGTCTCAATCCATTGACTTCACAGGGGACCAAGCTAATTTAGGGACTCAGTAAAATGATCATGGTTAAGCAATCCCAAACAGTGCCATCACTTTTACCTCTGTCCTACATTCTCCTGTAATTTTATAAGGGGAAAACATTGACAGTAACTCTTCTGATATGTTAAAATATCTTACATGGTGATTATTTTTTCTATTATCAACTAACAAAACTGGAGTAAATCACAAGACTACACCATTTAAAGAAGAGAAAGTAGTGAATGAAGTAGTTTTCTAGCTGATTCAGTCTTATTGATAGAAAATGTGTGTATGAAGCAAACGCACATACTCTAATTTTACTTTCTTTCCAGCCAAGTCCTGCTTTGTTTGAGGCACAGGCTCTCAGACCGTAAGCTTCTGCTTCTGTTTGAAGCACAGAGAACCATGCAACAAGAAGGCATGAGCTCTCTAAACCAAAAAAAAAAAAACCCAAACCAACAAAAAAAAAAAAAAAAACAAAAAAAAGAGAGATTGTCTTGTACTGCATATTATAAAGCAAATGACACAACGAAACATGCATCCCAGCAAAGGCCTTCAGACAGTCTTAAATCACAAATAATTGGAGAAAAAACAAGCTGAAGCCTTCCGATACTACTGCCAGATCAACACCTCCAGCAGTCTTGCTCGGTCCCCTAACTCTGCTCCTCAACTTCCTTCTCTTAGTACGCTTACTGATGGAATCCTCCATTCACTGAGACTATTAACAATTTACCAACTAGAGGGTGTAACTCTACTGCGGTCAAATGCATGAGCGAAGCTCAGAGAAACTTCAACTACACAAACCCAAATCACACTTTAACTGCAGATGTATCCTATAACTAGTGTCAATCATAGCTACTCATTTATCTCTGATTCAGCAGAGATCTGAGTGTGTGCCTACAGACATTCAGGTTTCAGTATACCTAAGTGCATAACTGGATGGACATTATGACGTTAAGAACAACATCATCCATGGGAGATGGTGTTAAGAAGCACGCTCTTTAAAGACAAGGACTGCAAAGTTAATCATATTAATCATCTGTGTAAAGAAGATCTAAGAACAGTATCCCTGCTGTGTCTTTTAAAAAGCTGAGTAACATTCATGATATATATATGTATATATACATCGACACACATGTGTCTTTTCATATATCTATCTACCTACTCACGGCAAAGTACTGGAAATTGGATGCAGTAAAGGAAATACAAAAATAGAGAAAAACAGGTCACGAAAAAGCATACTGAAGGGCTGTAGCAGAACCAGGAATGCAGCCCATACATCCCAATTTTTCCTTCCATATTAAGCCCTCATTCTTCTGTTACCACACTCAGACTCCACAGCAGAGATCTAGCAGTTGTTTCTTGTGCAACGTTTGCTCATTGGACTTTGACAAGTTTACTGAAACCTGATAAATGAAGTTAGTCATAAACTTATTGGTTAAACCTGACATACAATTAACTGGCTGCATAATAAGCAGTATTTAATCAAGAACTATCAATAAGCATAAAATGTTGAAGTGCAGTTAACCCACAACAGCAGTGGAGAGCTATGTTGAGGGCTACGCCAGTAGCGTGTGTGTGCAGCCAGAGAACTGTTGCCTTCCCATGTCTTAGATGTTCTCCTAACTACAAGCCACGCCAGGCACCTGGCTGCAATCCACCAACAGTTTACTGTTTAAAGAAATTAACCTTCATGTCGTGCCTCTCTGCTTCTCCACTTTGTACCTCTCCATCTTTGTAATTCCAACAAAGAACACACAGTTTGAGCTCAGAAAGCTCACTCTCAAAGTAAAGGAAACAAAATGCACCTGGAAGGCACTAAGATGTGACAAGGGGAAAAGTTTAAGCCAAAGGAGACTGTGTTTACAATGGGAAAACAAAGACTGAATGCAGAATTAAAAATTCTTAGAAAATATCCTAGTAAAAATACCTCAGTACCTTATCTCTAAGAGTCTACTATAGTTATTGAACATTTTTTCACATCCAAATAGCAAAGGGAAACTTTTCTCCAAATAAAATTAAGCTTGTGTTTTTGTTTGTTTTGTTTTGTTTTTTTTTTAATTACATTCAGAACTGTTACAACTAACAACTCGTGAAAACGTTGAATGACATCCTAGATATCTTTACAGCAGTTAGTTTTAAGACTAAGAAGCCTTTATAACCTGCTGGCAGCCACACTCAAACTAAGAAAAGACCTGCGATTCCCAGGCAGAGAGCTCTCCCACGGCCAGAGCATGTCCTGCACCGGGCTCAGCCTTCCATCGCCCCCAGAGTCGGCATTCCCTGTCAGCTTTCCCGTACAACATGCTTTTTCCCGAGTCAAGCATTTTTTCCTTCGGGGGAATCATTCCTGCTTTTGCCCCCCTTTTTTTTTTTTTTTTTTTTTTTTTTTTTTTTTTTTTTTTATTCACTGCTTATCACTAATTTCAGAATTATTTTCCCAACGTGACTTTTTGAGAGACATCGTAAAACCTCACCTAAAGCGATGAAGACGCTCCCCCCCCCGCCAGTTCAAGCTGAAGTTTGCCGCTAGCTCTGCAGACCCTCAGCACACAAGCCCCCAGGGCTGCCTGACAGACCCCCCCTCCAGGCACCGGCTCGAAATTCTACCGCCTAAACCCGCTCCTTCTTCTTCCCAGAGACCTCCCCCTCGCTAAGGCATACCTGTAGGGACCCAATGCAGCGGGAGCCTTCGCAGTGCTGATTATTTTCTTCACGAGGGAAGCCATCACTGCCACCAGCAACCCCCCACCTCATCTCAGCGCCCCGCCGACCCCCGCAGGGGCTGCTGGGAAATGTAGTCCTTCGAGTGAGAGGGCGCGCTGCGCGCATGCGCGGTGCGGGGCTGCGGGCGGCCGCGTGTAGCGGGTGGAGGCCGCGCCGGGGCCGGTGGCCGCTCCCCCCGCCAGCGTCTCTCCCCCGCTACGGAGAGGCTCCCTAGTCCCCCCGCCGGGCGCTCAGGTCTGCCTGAGGGGCGGGTTGGCACCCCCCCCCCGGGCCCTGCCGGAGATGTCTGGGGCGAGGGAGAAGAAGCGGGCCAAGAAGATGAGGAACCAGCCGACCAGCGTCACCCTTCCCGCGGAGTCAGGACCCTTCCCCGGCGGCGGGAGCAGAGCTTGCCCGCCCCCAGGTACGGCCGGGGGATCCTCTACCCAGGGCCGGGGTGGGTGGCCGCGGAGGGGCCGTTTCCCGTCTCAGGGCTGGGTGTCCCCGGCTCCTCGGCCCCCACGGCCGGCGAGGCGTGCCGGCTGTGGGAGCGTTCCAGGCTCTCGTCCCCTGCCCTTGACTCCTGGAGCTCCGGTTCTGTCATAACTCCCCTTAATACACGCTTCTCTGTCATCCCTTCGATTACATGAGAAATCCCGAACCTCCTACTGTGGTTTCTAGACTTAAAATGCATTTGGATGTTACAGCCCATCCAGTGACCTCCCTTCTCTTTCTGTCGGACCTAGGAGCCGCAGGAGGCGGTGGTTTAGCCTGCTGGCCCCATGTTAAATACTTTTCCATCAGATCAGAATGCCCAACCAATTTGCCTTTTGGAGCTTGTGGCTCCTGCATCTGTGGAAGAGTATTGTCAAGAGGCAGCAAGGCGTTTCCCTAAAATGGCAGCGTTATCAGGTCGTTGCTGGAGCATTTTGTGCACAGGTAACCTTTGCAGCTGAAGACTGAAGGATCCTGTCAGCCTGTTTGCCAGATGCTTTTATTCATCTGTGTTTTGACCTGCATCCCGTATGCTTCAATCGGACTTTGATTTCTACACCCCCTGCCCCTCCCCCCCCGCCCCCATTCCGGTTTTTATTTTGTTACCTATATTATTTCTGGGAAAAAAAAAAAAAAAAAAAAAAAGGCATGCCTAAGAACAAGGTCTGTTAGTGTGAGGCCTTCAGAAATTGACAAATTGCATTTTTGTGGTTGAACAAAAAAATGCTTAAGTGTCACAGTGTATTGAGGAGACAGGAGTGCCTAAGCGGACAGAATGACATAGCAAATTATGGTCAGCCCTGTCTGAAGATTTTGGAATATCATTAGAGGAGTACTGCCAGATTAAACCCATTTTGCCAACTTTATTTGTAGCAGGGAACTTCTAAGATTACATGGTTATGTTTTTCTGTCCCGTTGAATAGCATGCATTTTCATCCATGTAAAATTCTTTTGTAACTTTAGTATATTGGTTTCATAGGGCTATTCTGTAGAAACAGGAAAGAAAAAATCTAAATAGGAGTTATCAAACTATGGATCTATATAGTACTTGAAATAATTTAATTTTTTTTTATGTATTAAGTCAGTCATTGTATTCTGAAACACCCTTCCATCTTCTGATTAAAATATTTAGTTTCTCCATTCTTAGTCAAACTTCATAGTGAAAGGGTGCGTTTGTGATATGAGTTAATAGCTGTCCAGTTACCCTGCCACAATTGGCTTGGGCTGTAGGTCTACATAGATTTGCTGACTGAGACACCATCCATCCCGCTTTCCCAGCTATTTTATTCTCCCTTTCATCTCACTGTCTGGACAGTGCTGCTCTCAGCCATGTGGACAACCCAGATGAGGGAGTTGTTCCACAAAAAACTAACTTCTGTTTCTACCCCAGATTATTTTTTCATCTGGATTACTGCAGTTCTACATGATGTGTGGTTGCATTGGGGCTGCAACAACATTGCTGTGAACATAAAACTCAGCTTTATGCTTATCTGAAATGGAAAAAGGAGGTTTTTGCCGGTTTAAGTTCACATAAATTTCATGCTGCTGTAGGTGAATGTGCTCCTGGCTGTTCATCATGCTAATGGTACCATTTTGGGGGCAGTGGGGTAGGCTTCTTTAAGAATCTGATCAACTTCAGAACATTGTTTTTAATCTCTCACCCCATTTCTCCACCTCCCCCCTCCTTTCTTCCTCTGTTCCTCCACTGACCTTGGTGTTCACGCAGCTGTCACAACTCCTCCTCATAAGTTGGACTGCTCGTCACCAGTCCCTTCTTAAATATGTTATTGCAGAGGTACAGCTGATTGCCTCAGTTTTGGTGCAGAAGTGGAGCTGACTTGGAGCTGGTGGAGCTTCAAGAAGCTTCTCACAGGGGGCTGCCCCTATAGCCCCCTCCCCTGCTACCAAAAACCCTACCACTCACTCAAACCCAAGACAGATGGACTTCAAGGCCCTCTTAAACTTGAAGTATTGTCAGGTGCTTATCATCCTTAAAAGGTATTTCTATACCTTAGGAAACTTATTGTAGACTTTAGTTACTAATTTCAATATTGATTTAAATGCCTGTGCCAGAAAAGTAGCTTACTGCACCAACATACATGTATCATGCTTACCTTATTTGTTGCTGTAACAGAAATACATGTAAGTGAGACAAGAATACATTTTCTTAAGGGAAAAAAAAAAATCAAGAGGCAAGAGGAAAAAATATTAACTTTTCTCGTTTGGTACTAAAACCCTGACTAGACAATAGTAAAAGTCACTACTGATGTTGTGTAGACGAATTTTAGTCAGGTCTTTCCTGTTGGGTCTTACAAAATATTGGAGGCAAAGTCTGGATTGAGTACCATTTTCAGAATGTGCGAAAGTTACTTAATCTACTGGAGTCTTGCTGCAGGACAGCAGTATCAAAAAAGAACTTAATTCTTCTGATTTCTGATGACTTTTTCGGGTACATATATTAAATATAGTAGGAATGCACGATGCAGTCTCGTGAGGGAAGACTGTGTGTTGCTATCAGTTACTCAGGCTGCTTTGCATTTCTGTTACCTCTTTTCATCTCTAAACCCTCCAGGAGATGTTCGTTCTGAGCAGCAGTATCAGCAGCAGAAATTTTCGAATCAGTCATCTGGGCCTTCTTACAGAAAAGACCAGTATTTACCAAAAGGGCAAAATAGAGGAGAGAGAGGCAGAGGAAGAGGAGGATGGCAAGGAGGACGCCAGAGTATTTCTGAGGAAATGCCAAAATACATAACAGGTTTGTATATAAGGAAAAGTTCATAATTTATATATACAGGGCAACTTGCTGGTGATTAAGTTTGCTGTCTGTCTTTGGTTTTGTACAAGAGGAAAAATTAGAACTGATGCTATGTTCTTCTGTTTTTCCTGATTTTCTCCAAAGTACAGAAGTGGTTGTGTACTGGAATGAATGACTAGCTGTTGTTCAATTCAGACTTCTGAGTTGAAAAGTTGCACTTACTTGTAACGAGATATACATTTTGGTTTCTGTTTGCCAGCAAAATGAGTACTGACAGTCATCTGCTTTTAATGTAGCCAGTGAAACTGGTTTTGCCCATGGTGTGAGTTAAAGACAACTTTTCATCTAACAGAGCGTTTGTTTAGGAGAGCAGATAAGCTTTTCAAATATGATGGTGCTCTGATAGTAGGTACACTTCCATGAGCATAAAACAAGACCAACCTCTGGATTTTTATTTGATCATTTTAAAACAGCCTGAAATATGATTACTGCTTCCTCTTTTTTCCATGCTGAAGTTTTTTCGTCTCTCAATGCCATCTGAAAACATTGCTACTCTAATTTAATAAAGAAATACTTAATGCAAATAGGACTTGTTGGTTATACCATGCCTGTCAGATTCATACATGGATAAGTATTTGTTTAACCATATCTTAAAACTTCTGAGTATCTAAAGAATTTTAATTTATTCAGTAATAGTATACAGTATTTACTTTTATCCCAAGAAGTTATTAGACTGATGTACTAGGAATACTCTGCTGGAATTCAGTAGTTTACGTACAGCGTCCCCTTCTGTCATTATTGCTGTTTGTCACGCTCTAATGCAGTTCTTTTCATTCCAGTGTCTACCTTTGCACAAGCTCGTGCTGCTGAGATCAATGCCATGTTGAAAGCAGTTGCGCAGAAGTCTTCAAACTCTCTAGTTTTCCAGACTCTACCTAGGCACATGCGAAGGCGAGCTATGAGTCACAATATTAAACGCCTACCCAGGCGGCTCCAAGAGATTGCCAAGAAAGAGGTATAAATGTTTTGGATAGTATTTGATAAATTATATGGTGGGCGTAGTTAATGCACAGTGTTCAGATGTACATTTGTTAATGTTCAGACCCGAGCTTATCTGCAAAACTTTCCTGTGTACCTAGGCCCTCACATTTTGACTGACGTTTGGATTCAGAATACAGGAACACACCAATTTGATGGTAGCTTAAATAGATCTCACTAACCGCTTGGCTTTATTGGACATCTTGAAAGGTTATTAGAGTAGTGATAATAAAAGGGTCCACTGCATGAAGGGGTTGTTCAGGCGATGCCTTGGTCCCAGGAAATCCAGGAGCCCCACCGCAGCTGTAGGGTGCAACCCTGCCGGCCTCAAGCCAGCACAGCCCGTTCATGACCAGCATGATGGCTCATGTGTTACAGTTCAAACATGGGAGGTATGCTGAAGCTGTTGGCAGACGGCGTGCTGCTTAAGACGTGGCTATTTGTGGTTGCACACAAAACACGTTTTGTGGCAGTATCTCAACGTTTAGTCAGAATGCTCCTTTAGTCAGATTGCTCCTTACCCACTGTGACCTTCCTGTGTGGTTTGTTGTTTTTTTTTTTCAATATTTAAAAATTGATTCAGCAGGATTTTATTATGAAATTATCTGTATGTTTGGCATTGATCACTTTGTCTCTAGACACTTCTTAAACTGATCAAGTGAGTTTGCTTAGTGAGTTTTTTGTCTATTGAGGTTGACTGACATATCTCTTGCATTCTGTTTTCCCTTGGAATGTCTTTTTTCTCACGTCCTAAATTCTTTGAGACCCGACTCCCACCACCTTGAGTTCCTGAATTCCTGATTCAGAAATTGATTTGGGTACTTCCACACAAGTTCCTTAGGGTGTGTTTTATTGGATCTTCATAATCTGTATGTCATCTTTTACTCTGGTTGTCATTTTTTTTGGCTTTAATCGTGACAAGGGATGCAATTTTTCCTGTTTTCTGAGAACAGAAGTAAGAAGGCATGGTCTATTTTGTGTAGTTACATATGTGTTCTATCCTTGTTAAATAATCTGTATTTCTTTAATGTTTATTATTGGTTCTTTTGTGTCTTGCTTTTTTACTCCTTTCACATGATAGCCCTTATAACTTCTCTGTACATGCTCACACATTCTCCGATCCTTGTTTCCACTCCTTGTATGATTCTTGGATTTTCAAGATTATTTAATTGGCCCTGGTGCAGGTGTACTTCTTCTGCTATGTCTTCTTTCCTCAGATCTTTTGATGTAGTTTGTGTGTTTGCACAGGCTGTTTTATTTCACGTTCTTTTGCAGCTTGTCTTACCTCCTGTGCTGTTTCCTTTTGTAAAGGTTCTGCCTAGTACTTTTCAGTGTTTGAAGTCTGCTTATTCAAGTTAACTGTTCCAATTCTGCTGCCTTTTCTTCCTTTTTCTTAGATCCTTTATTGTGACAGTTGTCATCCAAACATTTACTTGGACCATCTCTTATCTCCTCATAAGCTTAAAGACAGACATACATTTTTCATCTATGACACCACATCCCTTTTTCTCTAATTGTCTTTCTGAACCAAGAAGTTACATACCAGTGATGCAGTGGCTTATATTGCCTACTGTGTGGTGGACTGATGGGTCTGGGAATCTATTTTATTTTTTAGTGCATTTCTGTTTGATTTCATGGGCTGCCTCAGTGTTTTCTATGCTCTTGGCAGTGATGTAGCATTCTCATTCCTTTGCTATTCTTATAACCAGTGGTCTGTTGTCAGCTATTCCTTGGTGAGCTTACGAAGAACATCCTAAGAAATTTTTTGTGTGTCTTACAGTCCCTATTTCCTTCCAGCAGTTCTCTTCACAAAAAGACAAATCATTGATCGAGAGAGTCAGGCCTTCCTCTCCAGCCATGCACTCACCCATAATAAGTCAGACCTTGACTGGGTATTTATCAAGAATTTGGCCAAGACATCACGACAGTCTTTTCTTGTTCGCTTCTACACATTATAGAATCGTTAGGGTACTACGTGTCAGTCTGAGAGTCCATATTACTTCTGTATGAGGTCAGATCTCCAGGTGTTGCTAATGTCATGTTCATGTGGATGTATTGATGTTGGGCAAAAACTTCAAAGCAGCAAATCATACCGTTCACTGGTAGCTTTCTGAATGTGTGGGGATTTTGGCTTATCCATAGGTTCCAGCCAAACCTTGATGCACTTGTGTGGATGGGGCTTGTTTATACAGTTTCAAAGTGTTAGCCCAAAGAATTATGGAGAACTAACATCAGAATGAAGTATAACTCAATGCTAATGCTTCCTATATCCTTATATATGTCAGCCTTTTTCTTTTACAGAAGTTTGTCCTTTTGAGATTTACTTCAATGTCTTCTCTTTGAAAAACAGGCTGAGAAAGCTGTACATCAGAAAAAAGAACAGTCAAAGACTAAATGCCGCAAAGCTAGAAGGCGCCACATAAATTTGGTAGCAGAGTTTAATCGCAGGCAAAGAAAGAACATTTGGCTGGAAACACATATTTGGCATGCAAAGAGGTTTCATATGGTGAAGAAATGGGGATACTGTTTAGGAAATAGCCCTACGGAGAAGAGCTACAGGGCTTGTTACCGAGCCATGACAAAACACTGCCTTCTTCAGGTACCATGTTTACATCTGTTTTCTTTGTTATTTTGCCAAGGTGAAGTAATCAACTGTTTATTTATAGTGAATATTTCTGTTTCTTTGAAGTATTGTTGTGTCAGCTGTTAATAACTGCTAAGTATGAAATGAGTGATTTCATAATTGTAATGAAGGGTGGTGAGTATCGGAGAGAACAAGATGAACCTTTCGAAGAGTCTTATGGTAACTGTGACTGAAACACTACATTCCGCAGTTGTCTCAAGAGCTAAGAGATTCAGTAAATCCCTGCGTCGTCTTCCTGAGCAGGGTGCTATTGGAGACAAGCACCTTGTTCCGTGTCCTTTTTAGTCTCTTGGTTTGAGAGGCAGGTTGGCCCTTCAAATGAGAAGTGCCTGACAGCTCTCCTATAACTAACAATTCTAAGTTGAAAAAGAAAACTCATTTCTCTTTGACACAAATTTTAGTGAATGAAAAACTACTACTTCAGTGTAAATTGTGAAGCTCTGTCTGGCCTTTCCTTGCGAGGCTCACTTTAAAGAGTTATTCTGACTTTACCACTATCCTGTTGTTTTAGGACTTATCATATTATTGTTGCCTGGAGTTGACTGGTAAAGAGAATGAGCTTCTGAAGCCCCTTGCTCGAATATGTAGCATTGACACAGGTAAAATTTATGTCGGTCAAAATAAAGATTCTGAATAGACTAAAGGATGAACCATCCTTTTCCTTTTTTAATATCCTATCAATCTCAGTAGTAGTAACAGAGTTGATATTGAGTTGTGATTTTGGTTTAAAAACAAAATTAAAGTGTCTTATACTAGGACTAGATGTTCTTATTTTCAGTTGTTTATTAATAAACTAAATGTGGTACAGCATTAGCAGCCCATCAGCCAGACTCAATTTCAGTTTTTTTTGTTTTTTTAAAGAGATCATTTCAGTTTTCAGTAAGTATCTTCTTCTTTAGGATTAACATTTGAAGAAGCTTGTTGTCTGTCTGGAAGATTTGAGGGTTCCCTGAATCTTTACCGAGCAGATCGCTATCCTGAGGATATGCTTGGTCCTGTTACATTTATTTGGAAACCCAGGGATGGGTCTGAAAACAGACAGTTGTGGATCTGGGTGCATCCAGCTCTCAAACAGGTATTTTTTCCTATATAGTTAAACTCTCATTTCTTTATGTAGTGTACATTTTTAACGCTGAAGATACCTTCTGAAAAGTGTCGAAGAGCTGGATACAGTACATGGCTTTAGGAATTAAAAGTTGGAAGACTGTTTCGGCTCTAATGGCATTTTTGTTCTGCAGCTTGTTTTTATTAAGCTTGTACAGAAGGTGCATGCCTCTGAGGTTTTTTAGTGTTTGAGCTTGTTATTTTCTAGTGTCACTTGCTTCAGGATACATTTACAGTGTGATGTTGCTTGTTTCACATCCTTCCCACTGGCACCCCCAACAGGCTAAATTTAGTCTCATCACAGATAATCATAATCAGATATTTAGCTATGAACTTTAAAAAAATAGAAATAAGTAAAATTCTGTGAACCGGCAATTTTTCCTACATTGAGTGAGAATAAATTCTTAGCAGCATTCAGCATTACTTTCAGCTCTTGCTACTAAGCCCTGAACTTCAGCAGAATTAAGTTTATTCCCTTAAATCCATATAGGCAAATAAAATAGTGGAGTGTTGTTCTTAAAACTGTACTTAAGCTTTGCAATGCACTGCTTATCATCCTAATTCAAACTTAATTTTTCTTAAGGACATACTGAGAGAGTTAAAAGGAATTTTTCAGTGTTCAGAGCCTGAAGAAATCTATATTCCTGAGCCTGTTATAACATCAATTCAAGAGGAAAAACAAATGGATGATGTTCTGAGCCTTGGCAAGAAAAGAAAGAAGGAGGATAAAGAAGGAGAAAAAGCTGTGCCAGTCAAAAAAATAATTGGTGATGGCACTAGAGATCCATGCCAGTCCTACTCTTGGATCTCTCAGACTACTGGCATTGTGATCAGGTTTGTTCATAGCAGAGTCAGAAACTGTGACCCTTAACCACTTAATATAGCTGAATTCTGGCTTAACAGAACTGGGGAAAAAATTGTGTGCTGTGTGAATACATTCACCTGAAATTTTCCTCTCTTTCAGTGATAGAACCATGGAGGTTCTCAGGTATCGGCTGATTGGCCCATTATCACACTCTGTCCTTACAGAGACCTTGAAAGCTGCTTCTCTCCAAACAGTAAGGAAATTGGCAGTTTGGGTATTACTGTAATTTTGATGAGGTGTCTAGAATGTGCAAGCTTGTTTTTTCTAGAAAGAATCACAAACTATCTAGCCTTACTTATTATAAAGGCTAACCTGTATATTTCTACTCTGTTAGCTTCTCTATATTGAGCTTCATGAGTAACTGTGATCTCGGGAAGAACTCCTGTCGATTTTAAGCATGGGTAGGAAGAAACTAGAAGCAGTGGTGCTGCTGAGCAGGCTATGTAGTTTCTGCTATAGTAATGTATTCTGCCAAGAGGTCCAGGATAATTCGTGTTCTCTTTGACAAACCATAGGACATGTTTCTTGAGCAGTGAGCTAAAGGGCAAGACATGTCAGGTGTAGGAAACTTTTGTGTTTTCAATCAAAAATGTAATTTCTCCAGGATTTACTGTTTTGTCGACCTCTTGTTACATAGCATCACTGTCGTTTTAATGGTTTTTGTTTTTGTCTCCTGCAGCAAACATCACGAGGCCATGAAATCTCTGGCTTTCTGTAAGAAATAATTAACAACAGAATTAGGAAACATTGTTGATTGCCGTGTTTATTTTTGGAATACAGGTTAAACTGAACATCTTATTGGGGATTACAGTGAAGTGGAGTATAAGAATAGACTGCAGCAGGAAAAAATTATTTTGGTTTGAAACTTGAAGAGGAAGAAAGTGACTGTGGTGGTTAAGGCAAACAGTAAATTCATGCTGATAGAAAATACTGAATAACCACCTGAGTTTAATTAGATGTGTTGTTTTCCAGGAGATGGCAGATTCGGAGACAGAACTGAATAACTGGTGGGTAGAAAACTGCAAGGACTCTGAAAAAGTATCTCTTCATCAACACCAAAGTGCTATCTTTGAGCTGTTAGAAGGTATTTAAGCATGTGGGTGCTGTGGGAGGAAGGGGAATCTCTTAAACCCTAGTGGTCAAAGCTGGCATGCTAATAAGTTGATTTCAATCTGGAAGTGCTTATTTTTTGCTTGATCAAGATAGTAATGCCATTGAGCACGTGCTTAGGTAATTACTGTAGCATGTCAGAGATTTGAGAAATGTTACATTAAGTTTTTTTAAGGGAATTTTAATCCTCTGTATAGTCCAAATTGTTAACAGATAAACTGAATCTTGTTTCTTCATAAACTTAGATTTGAGATTGCTGATGAGATATACAGTCTCATGCACACTCTTACTCTTTCCCCCCATACACACCAAATTAAGGCAGTAAGTTGTACAATATCTCCACAGATAAAATGGTAGGCTCCTGCCCAGAGTGAAAGTAATATACCTTGCTCTATATATTTTTGTTTCTAATGAACAGCTGTATAAGTGGCTGAGTTGTAATGTATCATGAAGTTAACAACATCTCACTTTCTAGCGCTGAAGCAGGTAAGGAACTGCTCTGATAGATCTCACACTATGCTCGAGCTATCCAATGTGAGGCAGTTAAGCAGAGATGAGGTAACGTTTTTAAAAAGCATTTTTAAATTTCCTTTCTTTGGAAGACAAGTATAAAACAAAGGTTGGTTGTTCTTTAAGAGGTATGCCAAATGCAAAAGATGAATTGAGTCTGTAAATTGTATGACCTCACCTCTATGCTAAGCTTAAATGTAATCTCTAACTAAGTCTTACACTGTTGCTGCTGTCTTTTGTTATTGGACATTTAACAAGCATTGGTGAGTTTTCAAAACATGTTAAAATGAGTACTCTGGATGGTTTCTCTGGCTTTCAGTGGTATCATATCCCTGCAAGCAAAAATGCACAAAATAGTAGTGCAGAAAAAGATCACAATTTATTTGGTGGTTTCATGGCAATGTTCATCTGTGTATTTTTAAAGGGATAAGTTCACCGTCAGAAATGCCACCAGGTACAATACTGGGCCTTACTGTTGGAGATCCTCGAGTCAATTTGCCAAAAAAGAAGACAAAAGCCATGCCAGACTTTGAAAAATACCAAGGTAAAATGCCTTGCTTATATTTTGCTTCTTGTGGAATTGCCAAAGGCAAGAGATTCAGTTTCTCTCCGTACTTTTGTTTTCCATTACTGTCATCTACTGATTATCTCCTACCATTTTTCTCTAGCATTCAATTTGAGAATGTTTCCTGCCACTTGCCGCAGCCCCTGGTAGAACAGAAACAGCCTGGAAGTTGCACAGGTTTAGAACAGCAGTTGTGAGGGAGGGACATGCACCAAAGCTGGTCTTGTGCTCAGTGGAAGCCTCTGTCTGACCATACAGATGATCCAGGTTCGAATCCTGGCAAGGCCAACCAGGTGCTAAAAGCTACGTAGTAAGTTTCTGCTCAATATTTAGTCTTCCTGATGCTGCTTATCGCTCCAAGAAGCTATCTGCTGTTTCTGGTTTATAGTCCTACAGCGATGAAAGTTGCAATTCCACTGAAAAGAAAAAAAAAAATTACCATTTCAAGATTAGCGATTCAGATAGCCAATACGCTGGTTATGTTAAAAAAATGAAAGATGCTCGTGTGACTTCTGAAACTTTAATTTCAGTGCTGACTTACAAAACATTTCATTGCAAAATTCAAATTCAGTTGCGTGTGAATGTCCTTGAAGAAATGTGCAAGAGCATATACAGTATACAGTGGGGTTTGTGTACAGTGCTGTGTAGGCATTTTCAATTAGGTGAGGCAGTCTGTGTCCAGTCAACCTAATATGAGAGACATAATAGCCAGCTAGCAAGCAGTAGCAAATAGGACAAGTTGAAGGTTCCAGAGACTTGAAAATACTTAATTTCCTTGGTGGTGTGTTTGCAAGACACTAGAATAATCTAGCCTTACCTTTCGGTTAAATCAGGATGAACACCTATTTCAGTTACTGTCTTTTAGCTCTCTGCACAACTCTGTTATTTGGATTTTCTTACATCCTCCTATTCTACCCTCTATATCTAGAACAGCCTTTCTCCTGTTAATTAGTTCTGCTCAGCTAACTTTCTCATCACTAATGTTCCTGTTGGAAATGCTGCAGCATACATCACCTCTGCTTTGGTTCCTTCCTGCTGAGAAGTAAGGTGAGCTATATAGCACTTGTTTACAGATACTGGTTTGAGCTGGTAGAGAAGTTAGCAATTACAAGAAGTAATTCTGCTTGTCAAGTCTGTGAAGATGTGTTCAAGAAGACAAGATCAGCAGCAGGCATCTAGACATTGGAAATGTCTCAGTAGTTTTTCTCCCACTGGTTGTCTCTCAGGAAGGAGGGCCATGGTAAAGAGGTAATGATGCAAGATAGAGAGTCAAGAGAAATAAAATGCCTATGCCTTTTTTTTTGCTTTGGCTGGCTAGAAATGGCCATCTTCAAGATCTTTCTACTAGGGGTTATTCTTCACTTGCAAAAAATCTTCTAAACCACAAACATTCAGAAAAGCTGGTGTTGCTTTCAGGTTCCTTATTGTGGGTGTTTTTTTTTAGTTTGATTATAAAGTTAAGACTGAATCTGTCCTCTCTGACTTTTATTTGGGAGAGGGAGAAGGTCCTTGTTCATCTAGCAAGGAAAGGTAAACTGCATGATGCCTTCTAACTTAGGTTCTGCTAAAGGACTTGGTGTTACACACTACTAAATAAGTTGAGTAGGCAGAAGGATGAAAGAATACAGATAATACAACTGCCTTCTAGTAGAAAATCAAAAGGACATCATGGTAAGGAAATAGAAAAGGAGAGGGCAGCCATCTACAAGAAATGGTTAAGGAGAGAATAAGAGGGACTGATGGTTCAGCAGGGAAAGTGGCTGCTGTTTTCCACATTTCCCGCCTGAGTGACTTCCTAATGCTGTGTGGGAAGAGTTATCGCATCATTCACAGTCTTCTGCCTGCCTAGCACATGTGAAGTAGGAGAACCTTATGGCATGGTAGTCATCTCTCCTACCTGAAAAACTCAAGGCTAACTGCCACTCCCCTGTCTCCCTCACTGAGTATTCCTAGGTGTTAGTTGGAAAGAGAGGCTATTGTTACTCTCCAAAGACTTGTTCCTAACCAAATTTTGTAGTCGACTGTGACAGCTACTACCTGTGCTGTATCTCTGCCTTAATGGACCTTCTTGTTCAGGTAGTTAAAAGCAGAGAAGTTACATTTTTTTTAAATGCTTCTAGAAAATGCATTTTTATGTCTAATCTATTCTCACTATGCAAGCATTGTGCTTTCTTGCCACTATTCACTGTTTCAGGACCCATTATAAGATCTTCCTGAATTCTATCAGTTTAGTTCATAATCTCCTTGGAGCATGGGGTCTTGTTGGATATTTCACTTCCTCTATACACCAATTAGAGTTATTCCTTTTTCCTATAAGCCTCCTTGAATGCCTGGCTGGTTTGCAGCAGTTAAATATATGAAGGAGAACCTGTTGACGGCCACTCAGTGCAAAAGAATCACCTCTAACTGAAGAAGTCTGTAAGCCACAAGTGGCTAGGAGCTGGCGGAGTGAGGAAATGCAACACTACGTACTGATTCTAGCACCGTACTCTTCCCCAGGGCGCTGTTACTGGCCACACTTGGAGTCAAATTCCTGAAATATCTGGCAAGAATTTCATCAAAAGCAATGTATTCCCAAAGATTAATCTAGTTTGACTTAACATTTTTACCAGCATTTTTCCAATAAGCTCTGTCTCCTTATTCTCCTGGTTCTTTCGCCAAAAGTGACCCAGGAATGGAGACTGTCTTCTTCAGTTTTTTGAAGAGCAACAATTTGTTTAACCAAAAAAGGAAGGAATTTAATCATGACATAAAGTATACATCACTACAGCAATAGTATTACCAACATTTCCACAGTAACACCCACGCAAAAAAAAAAGCTAGACTTCTCTTAAGATCTGTAATTCAATTTGGGTGGTATTAATTTGCCCCTTCTGTAAGAAGAAATCTTTTTATGAGCCTTAGAACTACATAAACTTTCTGAGCCTTGGTTTTGATGTAACCTTACTCAGATGTGGTAATACAGTGAGTTGATCTTTAAGAAATGTTAGTAGTCATTCTTTTGCCTTAATGATGTGTCATGTTGATTGAGCACTAAAAAGGAACCTTTGCTGTATTCCACACTTTTTTCCCCTTTTTGTTTCCTGGACATTCAAATAGTGTATCAGGGTTAGTGTTAGTAAGATTGAAATGGCACTGTGTATGTTAGAAGATTCTGTATGTGCTTTTAGCCTCTCTTGTTCTTTAAAGTTGTATAAAAGCTAACTGATTTTCTTAGGAAATCTTTACTAAATTAAAGGTGCATTGTTTGTCAAATGAGTGAATAGTTTAAGTAAGTTACAGCCATCATCTTTGCTGGTGGATTGTCGTACATGCAATCTGTGACATGATACACATCTGTCCATATCCCTTTTTTTTTCCAAAATGCTGTTCTAAGATATGCCTGTAGTTTTTCCCCTGTGAGTGACATGCTAACAGATCAAAGGTAATTTCAGTCTTTCCAAGTTACTGTCAGTCCTGAATGCATATGCATGTGTGCAAGCTGTGTGTTATAGACACGTGCTGATGGGATTTAATCAAACAACTGTCCACATTTCTTCAGGCTGGGGAATAGAAAGTTTGTGAATAAATCATTTTTTACTGCCTTCTTAGCAGGTTTATGCCTTCTGGAAGTCAAGACTCCCGGTAAGCAGCCAGTGCTTACACGACTGCAAATTAGTACTGTTCTTTTTCCATTTTAAAGTATACTTCCAACATTTTAATATACTTTTCCTGTCTTCTATGGGAGAATGCAAATTCCACTGCCTTAAAAATTGTTCAACATGGAGTATGGTGGAGCTTTTAAATGATCAGTGAATGAGATGCATAGAAAGAGAATGCATCATGAAAGATAGGTGAGCTAAAGTTCCTTCTGCAGATGCAGAGCTTGAGCCCTCTCCTGTAAACACCCCTCTTGCAGAAGTTTAGGTATCTGGCATCAGTTGTCCTAGTACCACACATGCCAACATACTTATGGCTCTGAAACTGCTCCCTAGCAGTGTTCATATTTTTGCTTTTTCTGCCATTTCGTCACAGAGGGAAGGAAAAATTTCAGTTAGAAGAACTCTTAGTCTTAGGCCTGTCTTCTAAGAGCATTAACATACTCAACTATGCAAATCAGAACAACAGCTTGAAATGGAACAAAACCTTCTTCTATCTGCCTGTGTTGTCTAAGCACCAACCGCTGACACCAGCAGAAGTAGCTAATGTGCTGATCGCCGCTGAGATTTGTGTGCTTAGTAATAAACCTCCCTATTTCCTATACTAGCTCTAACATCTTACTTCCACTATCATCAGCCAGTTACTCATCAGTAGGGTTATTTCCCCAGCAGTCTTAAAATGTGGACAGAAGAAAACAGGAGAGAGGTAAGAAATAACAGAACTGGTGTGAGGATTTGGGACTGTGATTTGAATTGTAGTATGCTTGGTAGAGAGATTAAATTCTCCAAGTTCACTGGGGATCAAGGAGAAAGAATGTACCAAGTTAGAGAAGGATATTTTAGTGTAGTGAGGAGGATATTGGATGGACTGTGGTGATGGAAAGAGACTGACTTAAAGGCTTTCTAAAATGAAAAAAAAAAAAAAATCATACCATTACAATTCTTATATTCTATAAAGAACTCCGAGAATATGACAAGGATAGACTGCCTGAACTGTAGTAATAGAAAGCGGTAAAAAAAAAAAAAAAAAAATCAGAGAAGGTTACAGTGAATAATTTACAGTTGAAGGAACTAGAGCATGTTTAAATAATTCAGCATAAAGAGACTAGTGTTCATGAGTGCTTTCTGCACAGAACATGGAAAAGTCACTTTCCTTACCTTTTGTTTGCTTGTAACTATGTGCCCTTCCCTCTTGGTTATCTGTAAGTCATGAAGGAATTCCCCACCACCACTACACACAGTTTTGTTGGTGTCTTTCTGATTCCTTTGAGGCATTGGTAATTGCTGTATCTCCAGACAGAATGTGCTTTACCTCTAGGAGCATTGAGCTCTTCTAGGTTCCTGCTCAGGTTCCTGTCCTTACTTTTTGATCCAAGAAGGAATTCTTCTGGCTTAATTGGCATGGAATTGGCAAGGATTTCCTTTTTAATTGTATCATTCTTAATTTGAAGGAATGGCACCCTAATCTGGCAATTTCTTTAGTTTTTCTCCCTCTCACAAAAATATAACTCATCAGCAAGAATGCATAGCAAATATCAGCTTAATAACACCATCAAACTGTCAGGTGTGTTGCCGCATTTAATATTTCTTTTGAAGGATTTTGCAACTCTGAGTAATAGGGACATCTTAAAGATTACAGATTTTAAATAAATAATTATTGCAATTACGATTGATGGTACCTATTGTGTTGTTAGTACCACTGAATAATCCGTATCTTCTGTGCTCAAAGTCTTTGTCAACTTTAACTGGAAAAATTAGCCAAATCTTCTTTTGAAAGACGAAGTGATTTAAAAAACAAAACCTGACACATTATGTTCCTTTAATATGTAAGATCTTGTAGATGACAAAATGAGCAGCAGTCCCTGTAAGTTTTAATCACAGAACTATTAATAAGTTCATTGTATTGCTTATTGGTAAGAATTATTTTACTTAAAATATGGATCAGCATGCATTACAGTACTGTACACAGAAGGCTTTTAATCCATAGATCTCTAAAAGTATGTATACATTTTCTCTTCTTTGGTTACATTGTGAAATGGAAGAAGAGATAGGTTATGTAATACTTCAACAATCAGTTTTAAAGCTAGAAGTGTTATTTATCTTCAGTAGTGCACACAACTGTTGGTTTGTATAGACATAAGCAAAGAATAGACCCTTCCTTGAAGTTCAGAGCTTGAAAAGATTCTTAGTGGGAAGCTAGCGTTTAAGTAGTTTCATGCTAGTCATATCTGTAAAAATATTTCCTGTATGTACATTTCTTAAAGGTCATCCTTGCTTCTCTTACAGGTTTACTTAGGTGGACTTTTTTCAGTCTTTGCAACATTGCTGTTTCTAATTTCCACCAAACCTGTTGAACTTCACACTGAAGTGAAAAGTCAAATTCTAGAGTATTAAAGTGGCACGCTAAAGATGTAATTTACATTGCCAAAGGTGATGTCATTTGTAATAAGAAATGCCTGTAAGAGAATGCGAGGTTAATGCTTCTAAAGCTAACAGTTTATTTCGTATTTTGTGTTTGGACAAACATGTGATAGTAAGATACAGTGATGCTTGTTAAGCTTTTAATAGACTGTTTCCTTAGTTGTCTGCTCATTGTACTTATGATAGTGGAGTGGGTTTGGTAATTTGATACTTAAGCCACAAAAATTGCTTGCATTTTGTTTGAAGGTTCTCTTCTTTTTTAGATAATGATAAAGTTAGGCAGCTGTACCTGGAGGGTGTACCTGTAAACTGTGCTCACAGCTTTATCTGGGACCAGGACATCTGTAAGAACGTCACTGAAAATAAAATCTCAGAGCAGGTAACTAAGAAGGTGGATTGCCATGAAGAAAATGGCTAATGGTCCATAGAGCCCACAGAGCAAGACTCTTGAAACTTACATAAATCCAAGAGCAGTAGTTTCCTAATGTCATAGTATCTAGCTGCTGAGTTGAAGTGTTTATTTTGCAGCCTTTGTGTAATGTTCTTGCACAGCCATTGTTCATGATTCAATTAAAAGAAAACTTTATTTGATTGTCTAAAGGCCTAAGTAGCTGTAGGTTTATTTATCAGAAGGGTTTGGAATTGGATTTTCCTACATCACCTTGGCTCCTGTGCAGCAGATAAAAGGGATGAAGTGGCACAGAGAGGCTGTGGCCATTCACTCCTCAGTCATAGCCAGGATGGTTCTCTTGACAGAAGAACTGCAGACATTGGAAGGAAATAAATCCATCTGGTTCTGAACTACAAAGCACTGTGTTGTGGGTGTTCTCGGCAGTAACCTGTGATTTGTAGAGAGCTTTAAATGTGCTGTTATAGGTTTGAAATATCCTATCTTGACATTTATGTTGGCTATGGAGGAGCAACCCATAAAATGCATGGGTAAAAAGGTGATTTAGTTACAAGGGGTGATAAACTTTCAACACTGTTGTAGTAAGAAAGAGAAAATATTTGTATGGCTGAAACATATCTTTAAATAATCTTGTTATGAAAGTTAGTTTTGTGTTTTTTTCAAACTAGCTGACATAGTGTAAAAAAGCAGAGTACTTACAAAATATTACACTAGTGCATAACAGTTATCAGGACAATCTCTTTGCATATGACAGTTCTTCATGCTGTCATCAAATGTAATGTTTACCTTATAAAACAGCTGATGCAGAAGGGACATGTAAAGAGGCAGTCTGATGGTCTATTTTTTAATAAATGTATTCTTAATATGCTACAATGAAGTATAACAACTGGTGATTGACAAAACCCTGGTGCCAGCATGCTTTATGTGAAACTGTTTTGTGACCAAATGTTCTTCCCATCTCCCTGGATGTAGTTCAGATTTGCTCCATGTATTGACAGACTGTCTGTAAGCACCTGCTCAGTCTAGTCTTATGCAGAAATCTATAAATATCAAGTTGCAATACTTGTTTTTCCTCCTTCATCTGTGCTGTACATTTTTTGCTCTGAGTTTCAGTACCTGCTCTCCATCAATGTCTATGGAAGTAAGAAGGGGAAAAAAAGGGTGCTTAGTACTTTTTTTCTAAAACCATTTTTCATGCTTCGATGAAGGTCAGTTCAAATATGTAGCATATTACTAGTATATTTTTTCTAGTTATAAGCTCACTTCATCTTTGCATCTTGGAAGGGTATCTGGAAGAAGGGAAAAATGGTTACTAACTTATGGGAAATGTCTCCTCCTCAGGAATTAAACTGTATGAGAGCTCAGTTACTGGTACCTGGATCACACCTTGATTTGGGTCCTTGTGAATCTAAGATTCCCATACTGTTGGTGCAGCAGCCAGGGAAAATGGCTGGAGAAGATCGACCAGGATGGGGGAGTGGCTGGGATATCTATCTCCCAAAGGGCTGGGGCATGGCTTTCTGGATTCCTTTTGTAAGTGACTTTCATTCCAAATTGCAAGTAAATATGACAAATTATATAATTTGGTTCAAAATCATTGATTTTAGAGAGTATACTTCACATTGTGTAACCAATTCACAGTTATAGGATCAAAATTCCACTTTAAAAGAGGGTGTATGAACATGGTTGATGACAGAGGCTTGGTCTTAAAATCTTAAAAATAAACAATAGCTTTCCATGTCTTCCGCTGGGTATAACTGTGCCCACATGGCACTCTAAAGCAGGAAATCAGAGTGGGCAGTAAGGAGAGAAAGCTGATGCTATAGCTCTTTGGGTTTGTGTTCCACAGGCGCAGGCCTCTAAAGAGAAATCATTTGATGCCTGATACTAATCCATTTCCAGCTTGGCTATCTGCACCACTCTGTCAACAAATTGGTTGCCTCTGATTTGGGAGAGATCTTGAAACACAAAGTTTGAGTTAAAGTTTAAACTTGAATACTCCTCTGGTGCTGTTTGGAGCATCCTGCTTTTAATGTTTAGATGGCAATTTTAATATCTTTGTGCAGTTAAATTTATGCTTTCGAATGTGCAGGAGGATTAATTGCAGTGATACCTACTGTACAGTTAAAATAAGCTGGGCAGTGACTTGTCAAAGTAATATGACATTCCTGCAATGTACAAGCTCAGAACTTGTGAAATTCTCTTCAGTTTTGTTGATAGTTTTTCAGAAGTAAATTTAAAGAGCATGACTAACATTTTTGTTTAAATGAGCATCTAATCTGTGAAAACCCCACTTAAGTTTATTTTTTTTGAAAGCTAAAGTGACAGACTTCCCATTTTCTAAGGCGGTAGCTTCTGGAGCATTAATGTTTTGTTTCATTTAGGAACCGAGAATCAGTACAAATACTGATTTTTTGGGGGTTTTGGTTTTTATAACAGATATATCGAGGTGTAAGAGTTGGTGGCTTGCAAGAGGCCTTAAAGCATTCTGAATATCAGAGAACACCTCACACTCCAAATGATTTCCCAGACTGTCAGGCTGGAATGCAGTTTGCCAAAGAACTGGAAACCAGTCTTCTTGAAAAATTCAAACGGTAATATCAACTTAAAAATTGATTGCAAGAATGAAAAAAATGAATACTAAAAATATTGCCTTAATTATCTGTTGTGTTTGTTTAGACTTGGACATTTATTTAAAAGTTTGTTGACTTGGACTTTTATGAGAACTTTCGCTAGTGTTTCAAATCCTAGTATTATATGCAAAAAAATAAAAGAATCCTAGATATTTAACAGAAAAACTCTGCTAGACAGGGCATATAAATTAACTAAAACCTTCTGTTCCCAGAGATATCTTCAGTTGTAAGGCTAACAATAAAATAAAGCTATTTCAAGCTCCTCTAACAACAAATGAGAGATGAAGTAGGAGAAGGCAAAGGCAGAAGATCAAAGTATGTACTAAGTGTTAAAGAATAAAGTGAATTAAGAGGTATATTTCACTGTCTACTTTTTAAATACCAGGTATTCTGAAGTTTGCCTTCATTTTCACTACAATAAACACAGAACTCTTAACCATGAGTATGGAGTAGCTGCAAGTGTCCTCTGCACCAGCTGGTGTTGGTTTCCCTTCCACTTAGGAGGGGAAAGTAGAAGTTCAGAGGAAAAGCTGGTGGCATCAGTCACAATAGATAGAAATATTCAGCATGGCTGAAAGATATGGTGGTCAAAAGTACAGCAGTGTTATCTAGAAGTATAACTTCAAAATTGTTGTTCAATGAGATTACAAAAGGAATGCATAGTTAACTTCCTGTTCTAAATATTCGGATTTGAAAACAGAAAACATTATCAGATCATCAGGAAAAAGTAGACAGCCTTTTGAAGTGCTAGGGACTGAATAAGGGCCCAGGAAACAAATATTCTTACCTATTTGATTTATCATTTAGACGTCCACCTGCAAAAAGGGCAAATTATGTCAAGCTGGGCACTCTGTCCCCTTTTGTCTGTCCTTGGGGGCAGCTGACAAAGAACTGGGAAGAAAGAATTAAAGCTTCAGGAGAACTTGTACATCCGTCTTCCCCACACCCTGAGTGCTGCATAACTGAAGGGCATAGCTTTTGTGACCTCAAAGCAGAAGTGGTCAAAGAAGCTTCCCCTAAGACTGGTGAGGTAGAGGAGACCATGGAAATAAGCTCTGAAGGTGCCCTGAAGACAGCGGATGTTACAAGCACTCAAGAATTTGGTGAGAGAGGTGAAACTATGACAAGTGACTTTATTGTTCTCAGGTATGTCAAAATGATACATGGATGTGAGATGTTATTTCTTTGTTGGGTATTATTGAATTGGGCCTTGATTATTAAGATGAGAGAATTATTCGATCCAGATATGGTGAGGAGATTAAATACTTTCGTCATGGATCAGAATTTGCTGTTGAGTGGAAGTCCTGTTTTTCCCCAGCAAACTTGGTGACTAGATAAAGTAAATTTCATAAATCATCATAAATTTAACACTTGATTTTAGTGTGTTCTTGGAGTTGGCATATTCTGTCTGCTTTCAGGTGGGTGAAGCTTTCAGAGCCTCATGTTTGTGCTTTTAAAACTGTTGCTGCGTAAATCATCTGGCATTCTCTTTTCTGATACATCATCACAGGTGGTTCTTGCACTACTTAATAAGGTCTACAAAGAAAACAGAGAATCCCCTGCTTCCCAGTGCAACGCATGAGGGCAGCAACAGTGTTTGGAAAGTGCCTGAATGCAGGTCTTTCATTTTTGTGTAGTTATCAGGGGAAAAAAACATTGGCAGTTCTGAACTGCTTTGGAGCATTTGTGATTTAACAAGTTTTGGGGATTTTAATGAATAATGTTTCCTTCTGAAGTAATAGCCTCACACATGAATCCCACTCGCCCATGTTCTTTTTGTGCTAAGAGTGATACAAATACCAGCTTGGAAGGTTACAGAAATCCCCAGAGCTTTTTTTAACCATGGTCTTGCAAATATGCAGGGCACTGGATTTCTGTTGTACTGCTTGTTAATAACTATCCTTGATGTTTATTTTAAATTTTTTTAATAGGAATGAGAAACTACTAATGCAGTTATCAGCCTGGTGCTATCCCACTGCTGGAAAAGATCGGCGAATCCGCCTTATTTCTCGACTGGGACAGAAGGAAATGACGGAAGATGTCTTTTTGCCAATCTTGATGAGCTACCCAAGGGCTCTCGTATGGGTCAACTTGTCTCTTTTGAGAAAGGGGAACCCGGAATTACACGCCATGATTTGCATCCCAACAGAAGACGACTTGCTGCATCTAAGCAAAAACAAACTCTTCTGTGGTCCTCAAGAACCCAAACATCATGACATATTCAAGCACAAGATACAGAAACTAAAAGAGGAGAAGAAGAAGAAAAAAAAGGATAACATGAAGGCTTTAGAAGGTGACCTTCCAAACATTCCAGATCAGGAAACAACTGAGGAGCATGAAGACCTCATTCTTGGTCTTTGGTCAGACACTCTCCCAGATGTTACTTCTCACTGCTCCAGAACTCTCTTGGGATATGTCACTCGAGGGGATTTTTCATTGGCTGCGGGATGTGGGGAAGCACTGGGTTTTGTTAGCTTGACAGGGCTACTTTATATGCTACACAACCAGCCAGCAGATAAAAAAGGGCTAGTTTTGTTAAGAACTCCAGCATCTTTACAGTACAGATTTGCAAGACTTACTATTGAGGTTTAAGAATCATTGCAATGCAGTAGAATGCCAAAAATACCAAAGAATGTCTGTTTTGTCTTCTGTGGCCTTTCTGATCTGTTTCAGATTTGAGCAGATTCTGAGCCCCAACAATGTCTTGAGAATTCTGAATTAATTAAAAAGCTTTGTAGCATTATTCATGAAAATAACTAAGGCTTAAACAGACCTAATATTACTTTTGATGTCTGCATTGCTAAGGATTTCTAACAGTAGCACATTCATTATCACGATCTTTACCTCTGGAGAAGTGTATTGTTCATTTTTTACTTCAGAGCAGTGGATGCTGTAACAATACACAGAAAATCATTGTTTTCCTTTTAGAAGTCTTTTGGTCAGATGAATTGTAACTTTCCAGTGCACTTCCACATGTAACTGCATGCGATCTGGACCCGTGTGTATAGCAAGTGGCTTTTCGCAATTCCTCATGTCTGAATACACGCGGCTGCAGTGGAACAGAGCTAAATAGAGAAACCTAGCACAGAAAGCAGGAGGGTGCTTACTGTGGTAGGAAAGCTCTGTGCTTAAATGAAATGCAAATAAAATATAGCCCGGCTATATAATCTTGAATTATAGAAACTGGAGCTCTTAAATTGGAAAGGATATCAGTCTCTCTCTAGTCTGAGAGAGAACTCTATTTTTGAAAGGTAATAAGCCTTTCAGATGCAAATTGCTGTTGGTGTGTCAGCATACATTTTCTGTTAATAATAGGGGATATTTTGGTTCCTTAAAACAGGAGATTATTTTTGTATGGAATGTGCTAGGAATGTGAAGGTTTCTTCATGTTACAGTATGGTTTATGAATGTTGTTCAAACAGTCATAAAACTTGTATGCTAGAGGGGTGAAGGGAGAAAGGTATTTGATTTGACTGGGGTGGTGTGGGTTGGTGTGTCAGTTTTGGTGTTTTCTTGAGGTTTTTTTAATGATAGCCTTAAGCTTCTAGCCATTATTGAGTCAAGCAGCTTGAAAACGAGTTTACAATAATACACCGTAGTTTAGTAGCAGCATGATATAAACATGCCAGTTGGTAGAATTACCCTTGAAATGATCATGTACAAATAAAAACGTAATCTATTCTTAATTTAGGAGTCTACTGACTAAGCTTGATTCTTTAAGAAATTAAATATGGATTAGTTAATGACTTCGTCTTTCTAAGTGTCAGTATGCAAATTAATTCCCTCGTTCACAGTTTTGTTTGGAAAAGTCTTAGGCAAGTAGATTAGTGTTGGCTGGAGTGTTGTCGGAGGAAGGATTTAGAGGATCTTACCCCCCCAATTATTAAAATTTAGGGCCATTGTTAGATTAAGTATGGCACACACGTGGGGAGGGGGCAGATCTCGGGTCGCAAGGGAAGTACTGGAAGTGGGGCTGGATTATTTGTAAAGTCTTCAGAAGACCGGTGTAAGAATGTTGTGCCGGTTGGCGTTACAGAGGCGCGTGGGATGGAAAGATTCAGCCTCCAGCACCACTTGGACTACAGCTGCATGAGAAATCATGCTGTATGGCTCCAGCATCACTCACCTTTGCTGCACCTGATAAAGCAATCGTGGTCCCAGAAAGGTCCCGAGAAGCATCTGCGAAAAAGCCGGCAGATGGCCCCAGAGGAAAAAGCTTGGTGCTGCGCGGGGCTGGGATTCACACGCCGCTCGCCCGTGTGACTGGGAGTGCTGCAGCCTGTAGGTAGGTGTGAATAAGGAGCCCCTTAAACGTTACAGCCTGGCTGCTCTGATCAAGTTCTCTCGTGGTAATAATCCTGGATTTAATGAACCTTTTGAATTGCGAGCCTGACTGAAATATTTCTAGGATCAGAGTTTCCAGAGCTGTGCTTCATGGGAAGAAAGGAGGAGGGGTGATGTTTATATGTTTTTTTTCCCCCCTTGCCCTCTCTCATCTTAGTAGATACATATTTTCTTGCCTCACTAGACCTGGCTTGTATGCGAGAAAGAAAGAGGAGAAGCCCCCCCACCCAAGCTATCATTTTGTTCTTTTCTGCCTGTAGATCTTTCGTTCACTGAATCTTTCCCAGGTTTTTATTTTTTTAAAAAACATCTGGAGTCTTTTTTCTTTTCCTCCTATTGGTAATTTCTGCCAGGTTTTCATTTTGACACTTCCTGTTACTTTTCTTTGATTTTCATTCTCTATTTCTGATTTATGATCCTTGTCTCTGGTGAGCCAATGAACAGAAACTGGAATCCAAGTGCATCCTGTTCTGTATATCTTGTAATATTGTTACACAGTTGTTTTCCTTTAAGTCAATGATTTATGCCTTAAGACTTCACTCTCCTTGTAAAACGTACTGCAAGCCCGGTGAGCTAAAAATGCTCAAAACTCTCAGCCAAAGTTTGTCAGAAAAATACTGTGACTTTATGTAGCTACAAGGAAATTTTTATCTGTTGTTGGGATTTCCAGATTTTGAGCATCTCAAGGGTGACTTAGTCATAAGAACTGTGTCAACACTTGATAATCAAACTGTGGATAATTAAACCTGTGTTATCTGTGTATCATCTGGACAGTATGTCTGTGTTCATCATGTTGAATCAGATGTAGTTTGCGGCACACATCTGTTCTTGGGCTGTATCTTAGTGCAGTTACTACCCATTGGTTAACTGCCCCCGAGAATCTGGATCAGCTCCTGTGGGCTCTGATACACGAGCATTTTTGTGAACCCAGGAAGCTCTTGCCCAATGAAAGAAACTCTCACAAGCTCTCCGGATCCCATGATGTTCTCCAGATAACTTTCTCAAAATGGATGCCAGCACAAACCCTTAGCTCTCATTCCTTGCTTGGCAAGAGCTTTTGGAAGCTGAAATGAAGCACAGAAGGCAATTCTGACATTATCTGTAGCACTGTGACAAGCTCAAATGCTAACACGCTGCTCTCGTAGCTCTTACGGCTCCCTTGGAGCAGCTGAATCAATGTAGTACTTGAGACTGGCCTGGTGAAGGGTCTTTTCCCAGCCTGAACCATGACTTGCATGGTAGTTGTCTGCTATGTTAAGACAGGCGCAGTGACTAGTGAACCTACCAAGCTGAGGGCCTCGTGGCTCTGAGATACACATTCTTTACCATTGCAAAACCAAGAAATGAGGTTGCAGAAAAGGGTGGTGGTTACTCTGTGGAATGAAGCGAGGTGGGACTGTGGCCAGGTTGTTGTGTGTTTGTTAAAGACATTCGGGGCAATTGGTTTGTTTAGCAGTGTGTAAGTAATGGAAAAAGTTACCTGGCAGAAAGGCAGCTGGGGTTGTTGAAAGAAATCTGGGAAAATAATTGGCAGGGTGACTGACCGCTCAATGGAGGTGGAAGCCTTGGGGGATCATGGCATAGGCAGACAGAGGGTAGTCAAATGCAGCATGACAGTTTCCTTTCAGTGCTCTAAATCTGGAAGAGCCAGATATGTCAAACCTGATCCATTCACATGTCCATGCGAGGTAGGTAGTGGGAACAGAGCTCGGGGAGTAAACTACCAAAGGCAGGTTTCTGAAACATGAAGACTGAGAAAAGCAGAAAAGGAATATCATTGGTTTATTTTCCAAAAATAAAACATTCAGAAAACCCCCACCCAAAGTCCCATGCTTCTAAATGCTCTTCCCAGGGGTAAACAATCTAAATAACACTCACAGTTTACCTCTTCCAAATCCAACTCAGCTGTACTGAAATTCTTCTTTGTCTCACCAAATCCCTCCAAGAGCAAGTAAACTTGTAGTGAATTATGAGAACTCGGGGAAAGGACAGAGGAGATGGGCTGAAACCATTTTGTGACAGCTTTGAAAGTAAGAGCCTGCTTGGCCCTGGACAAAATAAAATGAATTAGTTCAAGGTAGTTTGCAGAGTAGGTGAGGTGACAAGCAGAACAGACAAAACACAGCTTTCATTTATTGCATTGGGTCTCAAATAAATAGTTTCTTCTATAGTAGGAAAAATGACTACAAAGAATTATTTTTTCTAAATGACTACAAAGAATTTTTTTTTTTTTTTTAGACACTCAAAGATGTACATAACACGTACCAGCATCAGCTTGCTTGACACATTTTAGCTGTCTTTTCATCATGAGCTTACAGCAGTGCTGCTAATCTGACAGCCTGGCACAGCTAAACCCAATTCTTAAGAAATAGAAATCAAAAAGATATCCAGGACACAGCAAGAGTAAAGCAGAGAACGAAAAAGCGGTCTGAAGGGGGAGAGCAGCTCAGATTTCATGAGTCAAATATGTGAGGATTTGCTGTAATTTATAGAAAGGATGGTGCAATTCAATATTTCATTTCATCTCAGGAAGATCAAATAAATAGCCAGGATGAGAAAGGGTGTTTGTTTCAGCTCAGTCCTTCTTTCAGCATCCCGTTTCTTAGCCCAGAAAATGTTTTCTTTTAAAAAGAATACAATGGTTGTGACGGATGGGAGAGCTCATGCAGCTGAAACCCATGTGTCTATCAGGGCTCACTCTCATACATCATTTCTGGTTTGTTCTTTTTTCGCATTGGGTAATATCAAAAATGTTCTTTTTTTTTTTGGGGGGGGGGGGAGGTGTTGTCTTTTAGCAAAAGGGTGACACAAAAGCAAACTTGAACAGGCAAAACCTGAGTTGTGCAGAGCTTTATCACTCAAAAATTAGTTTAAATGCTGCCTCAGAAGTAAGCCACCTCCTCCTACCCACTTGAGACACCCCAGCTGTTTTAACCATGGCTCTAGTGATGAATCCAATGTGTCTACAGCTGTAATTAATTATAAATACCACACATGTACTTCTGAAAAATCTTCCAAAGAATCTTACCCAGGTTGTACCAGGTGTCACCCAAAGCAGCTTGACCCACAGGCAAAGCCAGTTGCTCAGAAAGGGTTAGACTGGGTGAGAAAGAGGGACCACACGTGTCAGAGCCTGTTACTTTTCCTTAGCACTCAAAAAAATCCAGAGTACTTTCACAGAAGAACAAATTGTAAATCTGCAATTAAAAATACTCTTTCCAGATTGGCAGTTGCTTAAGGCGGTGATTTTTAATTTTTTTTTTTTTTTTTTAAGATGCATGTGGAAGTGGTTTTGATACAGACCAGCAGGGATTAAGGAGTTAACGATAGATAATTTATTTTCTTGTAAGATATTTTGTCTTACAGCAATCAATTGCATCCAGGTTTTCTGAATATTTTTACAGTGCAATAATTCTTGTAAATTAGTTGGCAAATATATCAAGGGGGTTCCAAATGAAATCACAAAAACGTATGAAATTGGCTAGGAACTGTAACCAGATTTTTTTTTCAGAGAGAAACAGATGAAAATAAACACTAGTGCATCAATAAAATAGTAGTCTGGGGAAAGTCTTAAAAGCAAATTAATTAGAGTTTCCATTAGTCCTTTTAAGACTTTCACTGAGCTACTGTATTTTGAGGCATTAGTGATTTGTAAGCATTAGAGTAAATTATTTTTTAAAAAATTAGCTGTAGTTTCTATTAGTGACTTTAAGAACTTACTTTTATGCCTATAGGTAGCACACAGTGGCACAACTTCTAAAATGGCAACCCCAAAACTACAGATTTCTGTAGCCCCTAAAGTGTCCCCAAACCTGGTGCTGGGACCAAGGAGGTTTCCAGGCCAGTGCCCGACCTGGGTGCGCATGTCCAGCAGCTGCCGGCTGAGACGGGTGCTGGAGCCCGAGAGAACAACCTCTGTGGAAATTGCTCCTGGAGCAACGTGGAAGCACCCTCTGTCAAAAGCTGTGGAAGCCCATGCCCATCCTTTTCGTGCCAGTGGCGAAGCTCTGGAGACCTTTGATGTTGGAGAAGAATGAGTCTAACAAATAGCTCACAGATCCTGATCCTGGCTTTCTGGGTTCATTTGCAAAAACAAAACACCAACAAAAAAAACACCCCAAAACCTAAAAACAACAAAAAAACCCCTACCTTTCCTTTTTTAGGTTAGTAGACATGCAGAAGGCCAGTTTTACTCCTTTTTAAATTATTCAGCAAAACCAGAAATACCCAGAAAACAGCAATTCACTGCCTGAAGGCTTGTTTCTCACATTATATGCAATCAACCCCTTTTTGTTCTACAACACATTGGTGTAAAGCTAGAGCTCACCAATGTTACAAGAGGTTCCCGTGCAAATGCTTGCACATGGGCAAACACACATGACACACATGGTAAGAGGCTTCCTAATGAACGTACATTTAAATCGCTTCTTCCCTTGGAGCAAATAATTTTCTTTGATTGCTTGAGGAGCAGAAGAGGCTTGACACAGCTTTAAAACCAAAACCTCCAAAGCCAGAGGTGTTTTTAATCTCTCCTGGTAAACGGACTATGATTTGAAACTTGAGTTTTCTCTTTATTTAGAAAGATAATATGTATGTTATTCTATGTTTTAACTTGTAAAAATGCCTCGAGTTCAGATCCTTTTTCTTAGTGGAAGGTATTCTTGCAGCCGGTTGAAATTATGCTGCAGATGCAGTAAAATAGATCACATCAGAAAAATGGAAGTCCTAGGAAAGGCCTCCCTGTAATAGCATAAAAGCAGACTGCAGCGAGATAATGTTCGGAGAAGACAGTTTGCCATTCACATTTTTAAACAAGGTGGAAAGATGCACCAAGTACAGTCTTCTGGCCTGCCTGCAGTGCCTCAGGCAGCCGGCCCTTCCCGGGCTGGAAAGGTGGATTCAGTTCTCACTTGGGGTTTTTTTCCAAGATCTGTACTCATACAGGACAGGGAGGAAACAGACACACATGCCACCAGTGACACAAACTTTGGGCTGTTTCCCTGGATGGGCACTAAGCCTGATCCCTGGAGTCTCCTGTGTTAACAGTAGCAGTCATCCATTTGCTGTTTTGATTTTTTTTTTTCTATTTAATTTCTTACGATTTTAGAGCACTTTGGTTTTTAATTGTAATGCTGTAGCCTTGGGATTATTTTCTATAGCATATACACTTTAATGTGTACATTAAAACACATCAAATGAAGAGTCAGATATAAATCCACAGCATTAGCATGTATCTCAAGTAGCAGATCTCTTTCAGTAGTTTAAATACTCATTTTTTTAAGAGCTAAGTATTTCAAACCAGCAGTGTGCAGCTGGGCAGCACCCCAAAGGATGGACCTCAGCCTGTGGGGGAGTTTGGGTCTGCAGCCCCCACTCTGGCTCTCATCAAATCCTTCTGCGACATCCTCCGCTGAGTTCCCTCCATGAGTTCGTACTCAGTGCCTTTGCCATTTGGTGTGGAGCAGTTTCATTTTTGACAACTTCCCTCTTGAAATGTAGTAGAGACCAGAGAAGAGGGAAAGGCCACATTTATGTTGTATCTGTGTTTTAAATTCCACTTTGGTCCTACTCTGAGTAAATCTTGGCCTTCCTTTTAAAATACTGTGCATTTTTTATTCAGTTTTCCTTCTGTAAAAGGCCGTCAAAAGCTAAAAGATTACTGTCCCACAGTACAAGGAGGGATGCTGTTAGTCTGGCCAAGCAGCTATCAAAAATATGCAGGAAATACAACATAAATTCTTTTTTCTCCAAATGTTTTCTACAGACATGAT